AATGTTATTTATCAAGGGCACTACTCACTGGAGTCGAACAGAACGAAATTTATTTTAAATTACTTCAAAGGATTGACAAATCTATACATATAATAGAAATTGTAACTAAGTCGAATCTGTACATTAAATATTTTTTGGAAAATCTCATTGAAATAGACATTATTATCGATACAGAGTCCGAATCTATAGTTTTTAATTTTTTGTCTGTCTGTCTGTTACCGCATCACGAGAAAACTACTAGACAGATTTTGATGAAATTTGGTATGATGATAGCTGGTTATCCGGGTCAGTCAAGAAAATCAGGGTCAGTAAAATCTCTTAGTACATTACAACCATAACAAAAAAAGTTCAATGACTTCATGGAATTTTGGTATCTAATTATTTTAGACTACTGTTTGTTCCGGCTAATCTCCGAAACGGCAGGATCGTTTTTGATGGGACTTTCACTGGCAAATAGCTGAGTAACTTAGGCTACTTTTATTTTAGGAGAAGAATTATTGTTCCGCTCAAAAAAATAAAACGTACTTAGGGACGCGTCGCTATTTAGATAATATTATAATTTTCCATTATACTAAAAACTCTTATCTATGACATGTTAACAAAATAACGAAAAAATTGCGACAAAGAAAAAACAAATATCGTTGGAGACGAAGGAAATGGGCTTCGTTGTGTTAACTAAGGTCTGTCATAAAATATAAATGTATTTTATATTGGTAAATTTATTAAATCAGCTCGGGCGATAAGTAAAATGCTGGTGGTATAAAAACGTTGCCGCGATTTTTTTATCAAGGAAGAAAAACGCGGTTGGAATATATGACCTGTGAGTTCAATTATTAACATTTTTTACGATATCTACTACATATACTCGTATATAAAGGTCGAACAATAAATAACATGTGTATATTTAAAAACTTTATCAATATATACATATACAAAAGCCGCAAAATGTATATTAATTTAAACATTTAATGTTTCAATCGGCAAAATTATATACAACAGACATACAGAAAAATTAAACAAAGTATAATCATAATTATCAATTATTTTTTTTGGGTTGGGTGTGTGACCAACGTGACGTTGTCATAAATGCAAATGTAGATGATCGAGTTTTTATTAGGTAGGTAATTCTTTGCGCTATGAAATTCGAAATGAATATAGGTTTTATCCTGGATTATCGAGTAATTTTTTCAAGGTAAGTACTAATCAAGCAAAACCGAGTGCAAATTATGTCATGCCATGAGAAGGATCAAGCCATAGTCCACCATGCTGACCAAGTGCGGGTTGGCGGACTTCACATGTCTTTCGAAAACTTGTTAGGATTTCTCAGACGTGCACGTTTCCTCACGATGTTTTCCTTCACCGTAGTAAGACAAGTGATAATCATGTTGAAAATGAATCGCACATGTAATTATCAGAGATGCGAGACCCGGGCTTTGAACCCGCATCACTCGGCTACCCAAGCGAGCGCGTTACCACTGGGCTACCACTGCCTCTCCCAGGCATATTATAATACTGCTATGAACCACCGTCAAGTAAAATAACGAATCTACCTCAACAATGTACGAAATGTACTCTCATATATATGCAATTAGTGTAATCGTAATGCAGATATTTAACTGCGAATAGTCGCTCACGATACAAATAGCTATGATCACTTGAGGCCATATACGTCAGCTGATAAGGCATAGGTTTTATCTATTTTGTAGGTAATAAACACTGACAGTGAACGTTAGAACTGAAGAAATATATAAGTACTAGCAGAACCCGCGGCTTCGCTCGCGCTAAAACGACAAACAAATACCTATAAAGGTAGTTTCATACAAACTTTCATCCTCTATTTTACCCCCTTATGGAATGAATTTCGAAAAATGATAAAAGACATATTTATTTAATTTTATTGATGAGCAATAATACCAAGTTTCAAGTAATTCTGATCATAAATATATATATTATAACGTGTTTTCTCTCGCGGTAAAGTAGCCTATGTCACTCTCTAGCCCTCCAACTATCTCGACACAAAAAGTCACGCCAATCCGACTCTCCGTTTTGACGTGAAAGAAGGACAAACAAGCGCACTTTCACATTTATAATATTAGTTCTTACAAGTTAAACTGCTAGTCTAACATTTATTTACTTTATAGATAAAAATATTTTCTTTAGGAAATGGTGAAATAAAATGTATGTTGTATATGAATTTTTTAGGTACCTATCTTGTGAACGATTTACCAACGACCAACGTTTACAAGATAACATTTCAAAAAAAAAAAGTTAAATCTTTTTGTACTTTTAATTATACTCAGATAAGCTCCGACGAAACGTAATTTAAATGTAAATTATAAATTTGTTCTAGAAAAAAATGAAGATTTTGCATAGCGTAACTAGCATAGATATGATTTAATGTTTATAAAATAGAATTTACGCGGTTTCACTCTGGACTGATAACAAATGCTATTCCCACGACAATTAATGTTAACCGATAGCCACTCTATGCGATAAACAAGGACGTCAGATAGATATAGGACTAAATATTATTTTGGTATCATGTCAAGCACTCGAGTTAATGATCTGATGGTGGAACGTGTGCTCATTCAGAGTTAAATTGGAGACGTGCTCGTTCACATGAAGATGGGGTCCGGTGGCTCGTCAGATACCATGAATAACTGAGCGGCGGTTCGGGCGGTCAATGGACAATATCGCCGCAAAGGCGCCTGCGGAAATGACTGCTAAAATATTAAAACTACCGTAATATTCAGGGAAAAAATGCGAGACACCATAAACTAGACCGTTTTGTATTATCTTACTTATATAAACTTATATTTAAAAAACAAATTTCTGGTACTTTATTGAGTTAATTTGTGCACTAAAATATATTTTTTTTTATGATATTAATGTTTTTTCCTATACGATATCTATACATATAATAAAGTTCGAACTGAGTCGAATCTGTACATTAAATATTTTTTGGAAAATCTTATTGAAATAGACATTATTATTTATTATCGATACAAAGGCCGAATCTATAGTTTTTAGAATTTTTGTCTGTCAGTTACCGCATCATGAGAAAACCACTGGACCGATTTTGATCAAATTTGGTATGATGATAGCTGTCTATCCGGGTCAACATATAGGATACTTTTTACCCTGGGAAAATATCTCATTTCTGAGATAAAATACAAAAACTGCAATGTAAGAGTATACTGATATGTAAAATCTAAGAATTTGGTTTTTGGTCATCTGAACGCAGGCAGAGCCGCGGGCAATGCTAGTAAATAAATAATATTACTCTTAATATGACGTTATTCAAAATTAAACAAATCAAATCAGACTACGAGTACTATTAAGATGTGTTACAAAGACGGAGGCCACGGCGTATGGGAAAGTTTAAGACTCTACAACAACCATTCATAACGCTTGAATGAGCTCGACGCCCGCGCAGGCCGCGAGCTGCGACCCCGCGACATCTGTCACTGCGCAGATTCGACCCGATCATTGCAGATTAAATAAATATTATCAGACTCTTTCCTTATAAATTATACAACATAACAACTACTCTACAACTTGTTATACGCTACACTCGCTTTAATTGTATGTAAAGCTATAAAAATGTAGTACATTTCAATTACATATTAAAAATATATGTATGTATATAAAAACTATTTACGAGTAATAATGTTTATTATGTAAGTATGTGTATAAATAAAACATGAATATTTCTTGTCGATTATTTAACAATAGAATTGCTGAAGATTGATATAGATTATAGGTATAGAATTATTGATCTACTAACTTGCTCAATGAAGGAAAACTTATAAAATTTCATTTTATGCGGTATAGGTATTTATGAATGTAGGTCTGTAGGTCAATATTATTTTTTATCATCGTGATATAGGTCAATGTTAGTAAAATTAAACATTAAACATTGATATGGGCAAGTAGAAATGTTTGTGTTGTTTCGGTTTTTAAAAATCAAGTACGGTCTAAAGTGTATTGAACCCGGCGCAATGTCAGCCTACTAGGTCGATGCGTCACCGTCTCGCGATCGTGCGATGTAAACGAAAGCATTCCCACACAACAAGAGCATCGGTGTCCGCAAAAGTAGCATAAATAATAAGACAATAAGCAGGCAGGGCAAGAAATCAGTAATTTGTATCGCGGCGAGATAGGCGGAGCGACGAGGGAGACGGGTGCGGGTGCAGGCGCGCGCCGCGGCGCGGAGATGTGGCAACGCGTCAGGTGGAAATGGCGCCGGGCTGCTCTCCGCCGAGGACGACCGACCGCCCCCACCCTCCCCATGCCCCGCCACCCGTCCCCCTGTCTCCTCACCACCCGCCGCTGCCCGCTAATCCTCACCCGAACACAATCTGATAAAATTCGCGCCAGCTACGAATGTTACGCAAAGCGACTCCACACTACGGCACGGCGATAATGAATGACCCGACCGTTTCTTTATACATAAACATTCCCACTATCATAAATTATGTCGCAGTATCGAGCCGAACGCAGCTGTAAGAATGCAAGTAATAAGAAAGTTATTTCCTCGACCTGGCGAAACTAGTCTCGCGAACGCATTACGGTCCGCGTTACGGCCAGGTGAATTCAAAATGACCTCTATGGGCCTGTGGCTTCTTGTGGCCTCGCTCGCTGAATGTGATGACATTTTGTGGGTTAGCAACACGACATGACTCTACTGCTTGGAGTACGATGCCAGGATGACTAACGGTCGAGCGTCACGAGCCGACTGAGTATGGATTCTTCCACACAAAATATTTAACGCAATTGATCGATTTCATTACAGTATCGCATTAAGGTGAATTTTGTATATCAGCATCGCCTAACGATAATTGGACCGTTTGGTCATCGTGGATTTATTGTTGACTTACGGAAATACGAATGATATGATATCGTAAAGTAGATGCATACAATATTTTTATTACGTTAATCACAAGGATTTCGAAAGAAAAGTACCTATGAGTTCTTTCATCAATGTAAAAGTGACTTACCAAGGCGAAGAAGTTTGTGTGGCAATCCTCGAGACTTGCACCGTTTGTTTGGTGATTTTGATGCGTCATGGTAGTCCGAGGCACTTCATTTTCATTTCACAACACTAAAAACTGATTCAATCTTAAAGAAACCACTCAAAATCTTAAAATCATCACCGACATTTAGTGAAGTTTTCACCTTTCAATGGCGACTGGAAAATGGCGGATAGGAAACAACAACCCAAGCCGACAGTAGCGCACGTAGCGGCAGAAATATAAACTAATTTCGTCCAGAAATATGTTAACGTTCCATTTTATGCACTATTTCTTTATTATTTGATAGAATTAATTCAAAGTGGTTTTAATTACAATTAAAAAAGGAAATAAAGTTAAAAATAAGTCAAATTTACTTAAATATATAAATTTTACAAATATTATGTGCTATAAAATATAAAACGAAACAAAAGTAACAAATATTTTATCAAAAATAACTACTTCGTATGCGTATACTGTAATAATTTTTCATAAAATTTAAGATGTCAAATACGTGAAAAGTATAAATATTTCGTATTGTCGTAGATAAGTAAAGAAAAATATATATAATAGGTTTAAGTTAGTCTATAAATCTTTAATAATGCTGCGTAATATAGTTTTATCTACGACCAGTAAAAACTTTCAGGTTTTTATTACAAGATTACTTTTCTGATTTTATTTTTATTTCATAACCTTAACACTTTTATATAAATTACAGATAGTGTGTGTTAGGCACAAACAGGCAAAATTTCCAAAAAATGATAAGAAATTACAAGCTGCTGGTGAATCTCTCGCTGCAAGAGGGTAATAATTAGTTTTTTCAAACTAACCTGTAACCTTTGAAGTGTCAATGATAGCTTATAAGATAAATGAAACAAATATATGTTTTTAGTTTTCTTCGCCCAAACAAACCTTGGGATCCACCAGTAGACATTGATAAGACTGTTCTTAAAATATGTGCTGATAATGGACTTCGAACAGAATCTGAATTTGATTCACTTGAACAAAAATATACAGTACTAAAGGCATGCTTTGATGAAACTGGACATGGTGTACCAAATTCTTTACTTCACACTATTGAAACTGTTGGTAAGTATTAGTTTACTAAATGTTAATTTGTGTTTTACATTTACTCCTGTGTTAACTTATACAATATTGTGTATTTAATGCATTTAGAATACTATACAGTATAAAAATAATTTTATTCATACTTATTTATATAATTATTTAAGTTTTGTTAAAATTATAGTAAGTTCTTTAAAGAGAAATTTTGATTTTAAGAGGACTTGAGAGAATTTTATGAGACTCCAGTTGATACATTGAGTCCATTTGATAACTTAAAGAAAATGGATTTACCAAAGAATCTTCATGTGCAGGAAGATTATGTTCGATTCCATCCAGGTAATTTAAAACCGATACTTGCTAAGTAACCCTTATTTTAAGTTATCATTATATAAAATAATCCTACATTAATATGGTAATAAATTATTGTTTTTGCAATGTAAATGTTCATATTATAAGTATTAATGCCTTACTTGGACAAAACAATAATACATTATTTAAAAAAACATGAAAACTTTATAATAAGGTCCAATATTAAAAACCTTTTATTTTATATAATGGTAATTACCAGTTTTTTTTTTTAATTTTGATATATTTAATAGATAGTACCAAGGAGACTCAGCTTCGCTCGGCATATTCTAAAAAAAATATAGAATTTATTTTTATTGAAAACACACCTATGTATATAGAAAAACTTAAAAAGTAAAACCTTATCTAAAAATAAAATTAATCAAAATCATTAGAGCCGTTTCCGAGATACATTAAATAAATGTATATATACAAGAATTGCACATTTAATATAATCAATAAGATTTTGAGCTTTATTATTTTTTTCAAAATTCTCTTTCAGATAAAGACACTTTGTTCAATGGAAAAACAGCATTCCCCAAGAGTTCCACTATAGTATCTGGTCTAAAAACTAGGAAGAAGTATGAGGGATATACTGCCAAGACGTCATGGCCATAATAAATTTAGGATAAACAATATACTTTAGTCTGATTTATTAAATGCATAGAATATTATTACACAGTTTTATTTATAAACATTGCTTTGCATACAAGTATATCTTAATGGATTGTTTCGAAGTTGTAAACTCAATATTTAAAAATTATTATTTAGGTTTTGGAATAGTTAAACTAAATTTCTTATATGTTTTAATTCTATTTTTTAATCAATTTATCATTTGTACATACATGGCTGAATGGATTTTAATGATTTTTAAAGTTATACTTTTGGCATGTTTGGAAAAAAAATATAAGGGTAAAATTTTTACGCCATAAAGCTACATTATAAAGTTAGCTGCATTCCTTTTACAAACAGAGTGTTTTTGTTCTTTTACGCCAAAAAAGTAAAACCCCATATGTGCTTACATAAGTTCCTACTCACATTTTTTTAATGAAATGACTGACCTAATTGAATTAAAAAAATACTTTAAATATGATTCCATTTGTATTTCACATTAAGACATAACACCTACGTAAATAAGACTTAATAGTCGGAAACTTTCACCTTCTACAAATATTTAGTCATGCATTTAAAACGGATCTCATATTTCCATACAAATTATGATGTCGAAAATCTTCGTCACCACTCTAGATCTTTGAAGAATCGGATATAATGGGTCACAATGCCCATAAAAGTATGCATTACGTGAATTTCTAATTGGAATAGGAAATAAAATTTGGAGATTTATTACACAATGTTTTTATACTAATATTTAGAGTTGGATTTGAAAAAGTCTAATCAGCATTTTACGGTCTATTTATAGAGAAAGCGCTAGCTCTCTATAATCTAACACCATACTCTTAAATTTATGAGAGGTGGAATTATAAATCATATTATGCCTAATGCCAAGCTCAAACTTATTTAACTTCTTTTTTTTTTATTAAATAAAATAAAACTATCTTTTCGGATTATGTCGCGGATTTATTTTGATTTTTGGTTCCCGACGTTTCGAATGCTTTACAGCATTCATGGTCACGGGAGAGTCTCTCCTAAAAGATATCCGAAAAGATAGTTTTATTTAATAATGTCAAACATTCGCGTAAATCTAAGAAAGTATTAACTTCTTTTTTGTTTGTATCAAATGATCACAAGAAAGCGTAAACCAATATAATACATATAATTTAATATAAAACATTTAGATTTGCGGACAAGGGTTGAAATTATTATATTGTGGAAATAGTTCCTATAGTATATGTAATATGCTACAACTCTTATCTAGCAGTTTGCTTGCTGGTCTAGATATAAATAGGAATGGCGACGGCATATTTGATAAAGTAAAATAAAAAATGGAAATGATTTCGGGATAGGTACCGTACTTGAACGCTATGAGAGCTTAACTTTTTTTTAACCGTTCTTAATGGGGCGTCGCAGAATCAATTACGCACTCAACCACGACGCCCCGACGGCAGGTCTACCGAAGCAGACTATCAACTCTCTGCTATCAGAGAAGTACCAAGAGCAATCCGCATGGCACACCGCCCACCGAAGTGGGTTTATTGGCTTCGCGCCCTGTTGGATTGCCGGTCGCTAATGAGCCTCAACCCCAACAATGAGACCTTATTATTATAGGAAGTCCTTTGATTTCATAAAATTTATGACAATAAAAAAACTTGAATAATGAATCCATTTTATTACTACCACTTTTATTATTTTTGCTTTCAAGTACATAATATAATCGACGAATATATTTACTGAAATAAAAATGAATTCAGCATTAAGGAAATCATATTAAGTTACCATCGTTATATTTTAATTCCATTACCTATATTTATTCCGTTATTATAATACAAACGACTCATCCCTGCTTAGCTCGGGTTCGTCCCTAGGTGATTCTTTAAATTTACATAACTTTATTATGTATGAACCGATTGAAATAAAACAAATATTTAATGGTAAGTGAAGCTTACCACAATACACTAGTGAAAACCGCACCCAAATCGGTTAAGCCGTTTCTGAGATTAGAGCCCACAAACGCACAGATAAACATTTTTAAAATCATTATTTTGGGTTCTTTTGCGTTAATAATAGTTTTTTCAAATATTTTCCATGCTCAGACAGCGATCAGTTACACTTTTATTATATGTATAGATTACCAATCCTAGTTGATAGATATTTTGTAATTAGTTTCTAAACGTTATCTGAAAATTCAGATCTACGTCATCGTTTCAAGCGTATGACATTGACAGATTAATGTGAAAGGAAACAGACTAGACCCTGAAATTTTTATGGAAAATAAAACAATTTGAAAATGAATATAAATAAGTTAATAAACACATAAAATATAAGAAATATAATTGATTTATAAAAATGGAAGCACTACTCATATTGTGTTTTATTTTTGTGCTCATTTACTCATGTGTTTCATGGTAAGTTGATGTCAGCTTTCTGTTTGTTTTGTATGATATAATGCCGCTATTCAAAACAACAAACTGTACTTATCTAATAATTTTATGTACCCTTTAAGTAATCGAATAATTGAATTAATGAAGTAATATAATCCTTGTCCATTTTATATACATTATTCAATAGTGACTAGAATATGTACTAAATAGAATATTGTATATAGTAATGTTTTTATCACATAATTTCTACCAAACTGGACGAAGCGTGTCCAGTAATCTATTTTTCATATTTACAATTTTCATCACAATATAGTATAAGTTATATTTTAATTATATTATGGTTGAGTTGGATGATGATGGTTATAATGATTTTTATTTAATAATTATTATATGATAATATTACATTAAATTTTAGGCTATTACCAGCTGTTTTATCATGGCTTTTCAAAAGGAAGTATCATATCAAATTAAAAATTGGGAGAATAGCAATACCTAAGCTAATCTTATGTGATGTAAGCTTAGCAAAAGATGGCTACTCTATTGTAAGTATTTATTTTAATTCCTTATACAAAATGTCTTAATAATGGTAATGAATCGTTATTCATTATTTTTATTATAAATTACTTTATTTCTTATTCTATTATAAAAACATTTATGTAAAATACTTTTTCAGCATATTGAAAATGTATCATTCCGAAGTAGTTTCTTTAATTCAGAAATCAACAAGTTAGTTTCTGTAGTGGTCAACAATGTAGTAGTTACTAATAATGCAGAGGAAAAGAGGAGTGCCGTTGTTGAGACCATATTAAAGCCACTACTGTCTAAACAGAATTCAAATTCAAGATCTGAAGGGCTTAATGATGATACAAATGGTGAAAGTATTCAGGAAAAAGATTTCAGTTACATTACTTCACAACAATTGTTAGATTTTAGAAATAAGAAGCTACCACCAAGTCTTGTTATGTTTGCACAGGTAATTATTAATTGGCTGTCTAGATTGTAAATTTATTTTATTTTTTACCCATATGTTATACATAGGCTGTAAATTTATTATTAGTTATATTTGGTATTTAGATACTTTTATTGAAATTTAATTATCATGATAAGTTTTAATATATAAATATTTGTTAGAAATATACTATGAGATAGTAGTAGCCCAGTGGTAACTTGCCTGGGAAACTGAGTGAAGCGGGTTCAAATACCAGGTCTCACACCTTTGATATTTTCATGTGTGAATCATTCCCAATATAATTACCACTTGTCTTATGGTGAAGGAAAACATTGTGAGGAAACCTGCATGACTGAGTGAACCTAACAAATTTTCGAAAGATATGTAAAGTCCGCCAACTCACTTGGCCAGCATGGTGGACTTACCTAGATATTGGAAAACCCGTGACCAACAGTTGGATGTTAAAAAGGGCTGAATACATAACTATATACTGTTTACTTTTCAGTTTATGGGTGTCCATATCTATGATGCTATTATAAATATAAGCAGTGCAGATAATGGATGTAATTTGCTTGCATCGGCTACACAGATCCATGTAGATGGTGCAGCCGGAGGCCCAGCAAGGACATTAGTGTTCTCAGCTAATATTGATAATGCTAGGGTCAGAGTAATAAAAAATACCAAGGACTTAGCTGAAGTCTCTTGTAAGAATGTATTGCTTGAAGGCACTGTAAAAGCAGAGGGACCATTGAATGTAGAGGTAAGGGGTTTTATAAATATTATTTACAATAGATCAACACTACTGCATGGATAATATGAAAATGGCAGTTTTATAACTCTCATAGAGTATTTCTGTTTTTTGAGTTCTTTTGAAATTTTAAATTAAATGCTTATCTTTAATTTACTTTTAAATATCCCATATAAATTGCATAGATGTAAATATTTAACATTTCAATATATGATTTTTCCTTCATCCATGATATAAAAAGTACAGAATGATTCCTAATAGGACATATCGTTTGACCGATCACTGTAGATGGTTTTAGGCTATTTATTTTTTGAATACCATGCACTCTTCACCATTTTTATTTGATTTACTTGCATAAATATTTTTACTACCAACAAAAGCAAAACTTATTATTTTTTTATTATATTATATTAATATTATTTAACATAATTCTTATAATATTAAATGAGCAATTCTTGTATATATAATTTACTTCGTGTAATTCGAAAACCGCTCTAACAATTTGGATCGAAATTCGTATTTAGATATGATTTTGGTTTTTAAGTTTATCTATATAGGTGTGTGTCTCTTCTGAAGAATCTCAATTTAAACAAAAAAAATTTTTTATAACTAATTATCTTATTAGAGCTTTTTTCTATCTGCTTTCATACTGATAACGTCATATAGCGCCATCTCTAAATATTTTTGGTACTTGCATAATCGTCAATAGGAAAAATATCACTCTAAACGAGCGCTTGCGGTCATCCAAGTACTACATATTTACTTTATAAGTGAAAAAAGTAACAGTATACATTAAGGTCTCTGAAGATCAAAAGAAACATTTAAGTACGCTGGCAAAGTGGGCGGGTGACGGCTAGTATATACATATAATAAAAACTAGCGACTTACCCTAGTTAAGCCTTTACCCTTCGCTCGGTAGGTTTTTATTTTTTTAAGTGGTACCCTAAATATTTTTCTAATATAAAAGTAGCCTAATTTACTCCTTATAACATCAGCTATCTGCCAGTGAAAGTCCCGTCAAAATCAGTCCAGCCGTTTCGGAGACTAGCTGCAACAAACAGACAGACAATTTTAAAAAATATATTCATATATGCATTTAGTAAAAAGCTGTCATTTTGACATTACAAACAGACACTTCATTTTTATTTATCTGTGTAGATAAAATGTTAATTATACATATATCTTCCAATTTCAGAAAATTCATACAGTCATAAGTAATCCAAATATATTAGTACAAGATGAGTTGTACCTTTACCTCCAGAAGCACAAAAGGAGGAAAACGCCCAATGTGCTATATTATGGTGATAACCACTACAATACTCTATTACCAAGACTCGCTCCTGTTATACCAAAGGTTTTTATACATTTTTCTTAAAATTACATATATTTATTTAAAAAGTTTGCATGTTATATTAGTTTTTGTTACATATGACATTTATTTTTACTTGCAGATATTTAGCTTAAAAATCGAAGCAACGAAGATTGGTTATATGGACAATAACACACAGACAAATTTTCAGATGAATTTACACAGCTTAGAAGTAAGTATGACTAAAATAAATATACAGCTTAAAACAAATTGTTGCGAACTATTAAGCGACACTGTATCTACATAATATAGTACAGTGGCTTTCTCTCTTTTGCGTGAAAGAAAGAAAAACACACAAACACACTTTCGTAATGACAATATTAGCAAATATTAAGTAAGACTACTGTATTATAGTATTATGTGATCTGTGGTAAAACTATTTTTTTAGATTTTATCGAGAGTTAAATTTGCTTTTGTGATCCGAAAGTTTTGCAAATTGGTTCAAGAATGCTCTCTTCGGTGACCATAAAAATGATAACCATGAAAAATTAGTTTCATTAAAAATATCAAATATTCGCATAAATTGGTGAAAATATATTATTAGTGACCTAGTAAAAGGCAGTGGTAGCCCAGTGGTAACGCGCTCGCTTGGAAAACCGAGTGAAGCCGATTCCAAACCCAGGTACTCGCACCTCTGATATTTTCATGTGCGAATCATTTCTAACGTGACTACCACTTGTTGTACGGTGAAGGAAAACATCGTGAGGAAATCTGCATATCTGAGAGAACCTTTCAAGTTTTCGAAAGACATGTGAAGTCCGCCAACCCGCACTTGGCCAGCGTGGTGGACTATGGCCTGATCCCCGTCGCATTGGGAGGTCTATGCCCAGCAGTGGGACGTTAAAAAGGGCTGAATACAATCTTAGTAAAAACGATACATATAACAAAATCTAATATTCTTTTTTATACCTATATGTTATTTCAGGTAAATTCTAGATTTAGTGCAGCATCAATAGTATCCAACTTGCGTCTAGGCCCGCAAATGTACGTGGCGTTTCAAATGGATGCACTGGAACTGAAAGCTAACGTGGATACTATTTTGTTCCTCGATAAACTTAAATTAGATGCAAAGGTAATATTTTTTTTAGATTTGTTGTTGTTCTAAATTATTTGTAAGTGAATCTAATGAATGAATTAATACGAAATTATATATATCTGAAACGTAAGTGCGATTATTATTTCCTTGTATGGTTTTAGTTAACCGACTTAAAAAAAAACAAGTGGAAAATTCAGGTATATGTTTGTTTTCTTTTGTGTATGTTACGCGATATCTTCGCCTTCGAGATTGGATTTTTAATGTAATTTTATACATGAAATTTTATGAAAGTTTTTAGACATACATATGCATGAATTAATGGATGACAAGCAGACACAGTACATGTTGTCCAAACGTTTTTTAATTTTTCGACTAAACAGGTCAATTCGTTATCGTCATTTGGTCAGAAATTTAAAATAAAATCTGGTTGTATAGTACCTATAGTACAAAAAAATACATCAAATCGGTCGTCAAGAACACACATACTCCAGAATTTTATATATAAAGATGAATAGAAACTGATAAAATGAGAAGAAACTAACAAAACGTCATTGTTTCAGTTGGAAAAAGGTGTCCTCAATTTGTACCTTATAATCAGTACGCTGAACGTGTTCTACGATCACAGTAACGCATTCAAATGGTACACGGCATGGCAGAAACTAAAGAAATCTAGACCGTTAGTTGTTGAAACACCGGAACGATGTAAGATATTGTTAATTCATTTTTATATATATTTAACGTTCCAATTTTAATTTGGTTATCGTACAAATTTTATAATTTAAAATTTACATTATTAAGTATTTGAAAAAATATCGGAAAGTTTACATATTTATTAGTCCAAAAATTGGATTATTCGATACTATTTTTTTTTGGTTTTATGTAATGAAATAAGGTCTTAAATCCTGGTTTATACTCGTACGAATACAATTTTAGTATTAAGCAAGTTTTGCATGAACACAAGGAATTTTAGAACTGGTAAAAATTTAAGTAGGTATCTAGTGCCAATATCAATGTTAATTTGAATTATTAATAGTTTATCGTCTTTAACTCTGTTGACTCTTAATAAAGAAATGGGTAATATAGCTTGTCATTGATAATATTTTAGATATTTAAATGGTCACTGGTATATTATATTTATAAGGCAACCAACCAAGCATTATTATATACTAGCGGCTCACCCTCGCTTCGCTCGGGTTCGTCGCTAGGTACGTTTTAAATAGATATAAAAAGAAAAAATCTTTCTTTCTCACATTTTAATTATATGTTTTAATACTTACCTATTCCGGACTAAGAGAAATCCAAAAATTAAAATATCATAAAAATTGGAACGCGGTCGAACGGGATAAAAAGTATCCTATGTCCTTCTCCTGGCTCTAAACTACCTCCCTGCCAATTTTCAGCTAAATCGGTTCAGCCGTTCTTGAGTTATAAGCGAAGTAACTAACACGACTTTCTTTTATATATATAGATAATTCTATTAACATAATAGTACTTTAAATAAAACTATTTTTTCGATTTTTTTATTTTATCAACACAGGACAAAAAATAATAAAACCACGATAAAATCGGAAAATTTTTTTTGTTAATATTTGACTGTGATAACTAGCATGGGACGCGGAGTCGTGGTGGGGGCGGCTCGCGAGCAGCTGCACGGTGCAGGGCTGCGCCGAGCTGCGCGGCGTGGCGCTGCGGGCGGAGGCGGGGCGCGGCGCGCGCGCGCTCTGCGCCGGCTGCAGCGGCCTCAAGGTCAAGCTGGACCAGCTGCTGGACACCAGGGGTATGGCAGTGCTGGACTCTTATTTGGAATAGTTTTATTTATTCTTATCGCACACTAGAAATGAGATTTAGGCCTCAAAATTGTAAGACTTCCACCGTTATTAAACTGTTTTATAGTATGTATATTTGTGTTCACATTATGTCTGTATATATGTTATGTTGTTATTTTTTTAATGACTAAAATTTTGCTAATTTATTTTTCTTCGTTTCAATTGAGTGTCCTACAATATCTGTAGTTTAATATTTAGCTATAGAAAGGAATTTTAGTACTCTCAAAATATTGAACTCTTTGCCTGTACTTTAATGAATCTACATTTCATATACAAGATCCAAATTAATAGATGACGTACCTCATTCTTACTAAATAACTGTCGATGATGTGAATATTGTAGAGGAGCCCTACAAGTGGGTGGTGGCGCAGCTGGTAGTGGGGTCGCGGCACTGGAGCGCCGAGCTGCTGGTGGACGGCGGCTGGGCGCGCGCGGCGCCGGGGGCCGCGCCGCCGCCGCGCCGCGCGCACGCCTGGGGCTCCGCCCTGCTCGCCGTCGCGCTCGTCAAGTGGGGCACGCACGGCCCTAGGGACTCTAAGGTTACACTAACTAAATACATGGATTTTCTTTTGGAAATAGATTATTGTTCCGTGGGCTTATTTTGATTTTTGTTTCCCGAATTGGATTTTATAGCAAACATGGCCGTGATAAAGATTTAAGTTTTTAAGATCTCAAAAGTTATTATATATAGTTATCTACGATAAAATTAACATTTAACATTGTTTGAATATAACAACTCAAAATATAGATATTTAAAAAAAAATGTTATATTCGTGATTATCTAAGGAAGGACTTATTTTTGTGAATTTAATAATTGTCTAAAGCAATTTGTTTGTACATTAGACAGTTGTAAAAGTCACATCTATATTATTTTTCATAACAAAAAGAATTTGACAATAAAAGTACCTGATGATCTTCAGATCGAGGCTATGATGGACTGTCTCCGGCTGGAGTGGAGTCCCGTAATCGCAGAGACCATCATCTGTTTCGTGGACTGTCTCAATGAATATAAAACAATGCCCACACCAACTTCATCTCCAGAAATTGACGACGACTCTTCATCCAACATAGCAGTTAATGTGGCTCTCTCCCATATAAACTTGTTCCTTATAATTAATGATAAAACGTGTCTCATGACAAGAATTGATGCTGTGACGTTGGAGAAGACGAACGTGAAGTCAAGTGCGGTGGTGTCGGGGTTCAAGATGGCGGAAATGGTACCTTATCTAGGTATATATTTTCTTATTGGATTATATAATATGTCTTTTTAGCATAGAAAATTTAAATATCGATCTCAAAACAAAATATACTAATATTAGAACATAGGTATGTATGTACGTATTATGTTTATTTAATTTTTACCCCACAGTGGTGTTTCTGATAGCGAATTATAATGTTTTGCTCTATAGTAATGTTAATGATTACATTTGATTTAAGTTTCAATTAAAAAATGTCAAATAATTAAAAATAGTTATTTCACCGGAATTGGAAAATAACCACAAGCCTGAATGTTTTCTTGAAATTCATATTGGGTCATTGGAAATTGACAACCTGCTTCTTTCTTGAAGTTTGTCAAAATTTTTCAGTCACAGTGAGAAAGTAAAAACGGTTATGTGTATAATGTATATACATTTACACAGAATAAAAATGACAGTAATTTTTTTTCTACGTCAATAGGTAATGTGCACTGTCAAAGAAGTGATGAGATCCCAACGTCAGTGTTCTACGCGCGTCTCGCTCGCATCGAACATGTGCCGTCCAAGGAACGACACTCAGTGCTGTTAGACTTCCAATTTCTAGAAAATATCGAAGCTGAATGGAGCGCCAATTTACATCTCAAAATACTCACTTTGGTACGAGCCATTAGAAGCTTTAAGGACGACTTAAAATTAAAGATGGAAAGAGATGGAAGTATAGGAGGGTCGGAGCAAAGAAGAAAGAGAGCAATAGATTGGAGGGTTTCATTCAAGAGTGAAACTAATTTAAGTCTTATTTTGTCTCAAGAGAATAATATGCTATTTGGTACAGGTTAGTATGTTTGTGAATAAATTGCACTTCAGTATTCTAAAATACGTTAAGCTATATATATATATATATATATATATATATATATATATATATATAATATATATATATCTTTTATTAGAGGTTAATTTAAAGAAATATTTTCCATGATTATTGTTTGTGCGAATTTTTGCAGTTTGCACCACATAAAAATATTTGAGTAGTTCTAGAAGAAATATTTTTAATTATATTTTTATCAATTGCGTCAGAGAAATTGAAACAAGCCAGTAAATCAATTATACTAAAGTGTAAACATACTTAAAACTTTACTAAGTTTCTTTAAATAAATCCATCAACAGACGACATGACAGTAGCATACGACCACGAGAAAGGCCTGTCGATACAATGGAGTCAGCTGAAGATGGTGCTGAACGGTGACGAGATCATCACGGTGGGCGGATACTCCATGTGCCGTGCGCAGGACGACCCCGACGTCAGGGTCGAGAGGAAGGCCAGCGAGGGGTTCGTGCTCATGTGGAACAAGGTTTGGTAAGTTTAAATAAATAAATATGTTGGGACATTAACACATAGCACCGTCTAGTACCATGGTAAGCTACGAGGCTTGTGTTATGTATACCGGATAGTTGATACACTACACAAATATAACTTTTAAATACATACATATTATAAATATAAACACCCATGACTGGAGTACAAACATTCGTGCTCATCACACAAATAAATGCTCCCAGCGGGACTCGAATCCGCACCCGCTGGCAAAGCAAGTAAGGTCACTACAAACTGAGCCAAACGTGGTCAATCGTCGTTTATCTATATATATATAAAAATCAATTGCTGTTCGTTAGTCTCGCTAAAACTCAAAAACGGCTTGACCGATTTTTGTTTTGTTGGCGGTGTGTTAGGAGTGGTTTAAAAATAAAAATAATAGGGGAAATCCAAAAAAAACTGCTGGAAATTCGAAAAGTTTAGAGGTGTTTATTTTGTATGGGAATCAATAACCGCTAAAACGTACCTAGCGAAGAACCCGAGCAAAGCGAGGGTGAGTCGCTAGTATTTTATATAAGCTACTAAGTAGATCAGGTCATAGTCCACCACGCTGGCCAAGTGCGGGTTGGCGGACTGCACATGTCTTTCGAGAACTTGCTAGGTTCTCTCAGACGTGCAGGTTTCCTCACAATGTTTTTGTGCTTCGTTCGGTTTCCCAAGCGAGCGCGTTACTACTGGGCTACCACTGCCTGTATATAGGTATCTTGAATGTTTATTGTAATAAAGCAATACTAGGGGTTAAATTATACTTTTATTTTAGGGCCGTGAACGTTGGGTTAGTCAGAGTTATATTCCCCTACAAACATCGATTCGCGGAGGCGGTGCAGGGGGAGTTCGTGTCGCTATTCAAATGGATTAAAATTATACACGGTTTCAAAAAGAAACCCTTTACCGCGGACAGCCCTCTGCCTAGCGACTTACATATGAAGGTAAAATATAGGCCAAGAGCTGACTGTTGTTTTAAACACACTCAATATATTGAGTTTCATCGAATAATTTACGAACTACTTATCTTTGTAGATTGATGAAATAATAATTGAAATGAGTGATGATCCTTTCGAAGTGAAACTAAGAGATAATTATGAGCTTCTTGAGGACGAATACAAGGAGAGTCAGAAACGGCGAATGATGTTAGATGCAAAGGTGAGTTTTATTCATTTTTTTAATGACGATTCAACTATGTATTATATTTAGTTTCATGTCACAGATAATATATGTTGCGATAGATGTATAGAAATTTTACAATTAATTTTAGTTAGACAGGTTCTCCATATATGTATATACTAGCGACTCACCCACGCTCCGCTCTGATTCGTTTCTACTTACGTTTTAACGTTTAGTATAAATTTATTAGAGATGGGATATTTTTCCGCAGTAATAAGTATCCTATATGTTGACCCAGATGTGATGTTCTCCCGACCGATTCCGGCCACGGCGGCCAATCTCATTGAGACTAGCCAACTGCGCAGGAGATATTATAGTGCACAAGTGTACGCGCAGACACAAGTGCACTCCCCAGATAGCCAGTTATCATCACACCAAATTTCGTCAAAATACCTCCAGTGGTTTTTTCGTGATGCGGTCACAGATACACAGATAAAAATTCTAAAGATGATAGATTCGGCCTCTGTAATGACATTTGTGACTATTGCAATTACATTTTCTAAATAATATTTAATTTACAGATTCGATTCAGTTAGGATTTTATTATCTGTATAGATATAAACAGCTTAATGGATTTAAGTGATATGTTATGCTTTGGGTTTTTTATTTATGTAATTACCACGGGAACTGCGGGCAAATAACATCTCTAATAGAGCAAACGTGTATGTCTGTATGTACATTTGTGTGTTGATGATACGTTTGTAGTGACCCTACTTGCTGTGCCAGCGGTTGCGGGTTCGAGTTCCGCTGGGGGCATTCATTTATGTGACGCGCACGAATGTTTGTATTAGTCAAGGGTGTTTATATGTATAAGATGTATTTATTTAAAGTTATATATATATTTGTTTTGTATATTAACTATTTGTGTAGGGGACGCGACCTACCACTTAATGATAAATTAAATACAGTCTAAGACCGTTGAACAGTTTATTGATTTAATTATGTGCTATACTAATGATTGATGCAAATTAATGATGCTAATAAATGATAATGAATGCAGCCGGTTTGATTGCTGTCCGAACACGCACTGCCTTTTTAGGCGTGTTTCGATGTATTTATAACACACCTACTAAGCATTATTGCTTAGGTGTTCGGTACAAACCTTTGAATAGAACAATTTGGTATTCATAACACAAGCCTCGTAGCTTACCATGGAACTAATGGTGCTGTGTGTTAATGCCCCAATATATTTATTTATTTATGCGTCTTCTTTGTTCTTTTTCTGTACGGCTTTTTCCGCAATTAGGCATTCTTGCCCGTTGTGCGTGAGCTCGAGCTGTGTGTAGTATTAGTCAATATTTTATTTATGTGTGTGTGTGCAGGTGAAGGAGCTGTGCAAGCCGCACCTGTTCCTGCCGGCGGGCAAGGTGGAGGAGCTGTACGCGGCGCTGCGGCACAAGGACGCGCAGATCTACGTGCAGCGCACGCGCGCCGCGCCGCCGCCGCGCTCGCGCCTCGTGGCCTGCTGCCTGGGCGCGCTGCGCGTGCTGGCGCTGGCCGACCCCGCCGTGCACGGCGCCGCGCGCGCCGCCGCGCGCCTGCGGGAGATAGACGCCGACAGGTGCGCTTGCTTAGACAGGGTTAAGTAACACCGGGCTGAGTCGAATAAGACTTCAATCATGGCCGTTCGCTAAGCGTGCTGAGCTAATTATGATCGCAGTAGATACTAAAACGCTGTGTATATGTATGCAGATATAACGTACATTCTCGATTCACTAGTTTGGTGAAACGACAATTAGATACTTGGGAAGGATACTAAAGTTTCATTTTTGAAGTTATACTTCTTTTGGCGCGTTATAGAAAAAATTGTGAAACTGATTTTTACAATACGACAGGTTGAGACTACATTATGGAGTTAGTTGTTATTTTAACTCTGGGCTGCTGTTTGCTAATTTTTGACAGAAAAGCTTAAACACAATATTTAGTTCGATTGCAAACTTAAAATCAGAATCTGAACTAGATTCCTATTATTTCTATTCTTGCACACATTTGAGAATGAATTATAAAGTGAGAAAAACCCGGCAGCCCGTGGCCGGAGGACGGGCTGGAGTTCTCGACGCTGTGGTGCCGCTCGGTGAGCGTGAGCTGCGCGCTGTGGCAGCTGCGCCTGCGCGACTTCCCGCAGCCGCTGCTCAGCATGAGCGAGCTGCGCCTGTGGGGCACGCTGTGCGCCGCGGAGGAGGCGCCGCCGCCCAGGGGTACCACGAACAACCCTTGTTTTAAATATCGAAATATTTATAATTATTACTTTTAACTACCAGTAGAAAGAATACAATGATAAATGATGTAATACACTTAAAAATCCGTCCTAAAAGGGTGATTTTTTTTAATCATAAATGTGTACTATAATAACCTATATATATATAAAAGTAATGTGTGTATATATATTGCTTATTCATACTGTAACATTTTGACGATTAGGAATGAAATTCAAAAATCTCTTATTATTAATATCTTGGTGGAAGTAATTTATTAACATAAAAAATATAGAGGAATTAAACTTATATCATTCAATCGAAAATGAAACATGAAATTCTATGTATGTTATATAAAGATTTAAAAAAATACTAATAAATTTGTTTTTTTTTTAAACACCAGTGACATTTTCCAATTTAATACTATTTGTATGTGATAATTATAGCGGTGAGAACGGTGGTGATCGAGCAAGGCGAGCCGTGGGGCCAGTTCGAGCTGGAGCGCAGCATGATGCCGCTCAAGTGGTACTACGACCTGTGCTGCGAGATGACGGAGTACAGCTACGCCTTCGGCCCCTGCTGGGAGCCCGTCATCGCGCACTGTAACCTGGGTATGATTTATAATTTTAGGTTATTTAGGTACAGTCCGTAAATAAATAACGAGTTTTTTGTGTAAGAATTTTTTTTTTATTATTATTTTGTCATGATTTTCTCATATTAGGAAATTAAGTATTATGTTTAGAGATTGGTATTGTGAAGGGTGATGTGCTTATAGCTTTCTTTCTGATTTGCTGCTGATATGAAATGCTTGAAAGGAATTAATTTGTGATTATTTTTGTTTGTTAAATAAAATCATTAATTAAATCATTCCGTTTTACTATACATATTAAATAAATACAGATCCATAGTCTTAGTCGTCTAATCTACATTTGGTGTACCAAGTAAAGATAGCAACTGTCCGTCCGTCCCGCAGCCTTCGACCAGGTGTCCCGGCCGTCGCTGGACCCGTCGGCGCCGCTGGCGTGGTGGGACAAGGTGCGGCTGCTGCTGCACGGCCGCCTCACGCTGCAGTGCGCCAAGTTCACCTGCCTGCTGCACGTGTCGCTCGACCCCTACAACACCACCGAGGAGATGGAGGTCACGTGGAGCGACCTCGTGCTAGACTGGACTAACGGTCTGTGCGACTTTGATTATGTGTCGATACGAGGTTTTAGTTAGGATTTGAGTAATTAATTATATATGTGTATATATGGAAGTAAAAGGTCATTCGTTTAGTCACTGATTGAACACAAACTTTTCTGACCTATGAAGCTTAAATATGACAGGTTAAGTAGGTTTGTAGATAGAAGACGTCAGCTAACAACAAGTCGTATGGTCGAATCGTATTAGTAAATTTATATAAACCTACATTTTTCCTGCTAGAGGCATAAAAATGAGTTATTTTAGCTACATGCAAATGAAGTTCATTTAATGAACATAAGCAAAGCTATAATAGCTATAGTACCGTATAAGTAATTATATACTGTTAGCTATTATTTGATGTGATCAAGATTATAAGTTAGGTTATATTTCATCAATAACAAATCGGACTAGTTAAACAAAACAAGTTAATATTATTTAACATTTATTGGCCTTTGATGTAGCTAGGCAAACCCATTTGCGATTTATCAATTTACATATTATTTAACACGTAATCTTTGTAATTATTAAATAACAGATGAGGGTATATATTTCGAATACCGTATCTCGTACTACTAGTGTGTAATGTGCGAGTGTCCGGCACCAGGCAAGCTGGGGTTCCTGGGCGAGCTGAAGGTGTTCGTGCGCACGGCGAGCAAGTACGACGACTGCCGCGTGCTGCGCGTGCCGGCGCTGCGCCTGGCCGCCAAGCTGGGCTGGCAGTGCGTGGGCGAGCCGCGCGACCACCACGCCGTGGCGCCCTGCGCGCCCACGCGCCTGCCCGAGTACTCCAGCAACCAGGTGCACTCGACTTTGTCTTGCCATTTGCCATTTAGTGCCATGAATGTTTATTATATTTATATGCTCTAACTTCATCGTAACATTTTTTAATAGATTAATATTTACTATTATCAGGTGAAATGTACAAATAAATATTTATACATCATATTATGTAACTAAAGAATCAAAAATTGCGCACATGCATCTACATATTGTTTAGATCATTTCCTCCAAATTTATGTTTTTCAAAAAGATTAAAAAAAATCAAGTTCCACCTCTAGTTTTTAGAGTTCTTTTAAATATTAAATAAACTAATTTATAGAGACGTTTATACAAATATTTCATTTCTTAATATAGGTTTTGTATGCTTCAGGAACACGATTCTTATCGAGCATTCCGGTCTCAAGGTCTCGATATACATCTGAGCATGGACACTAAGCCAATAGAAGGAGATGGACCGGTGCTATTGCTTTACGGTAGCACACTGAGGTACTGAATTTAAAAATAATAAAATATTAATAAATAAAAGTAGTAGTTACATTCAATTGAGAGTCTTATTACGTTTGTCTTGTTTTAGATGGTTTGAGAGTCTCAAACTAATCCTGTCCGGCACGACGCGGCCGACGCGCCGCGGCCGCGTGTTCAACAACCTGCGCCCGCGCAAGCCGCAGTTGTCAAGACATTACAGGAATGTTAGCGTTTCGCTCACCTTGCATAATTTACAAGTAAGTTTGTAGATAACTTGAAATATTATCTCTAAAATGAAATATAACATCATTTGGCAGATAGAGTTATATAAATATATTATAGGTACGCACTAAAAAAAATCTTTTGAGTACTCAACTCAAAAAGTGTAAAGTTTTGGAAGTTCGTATGAAAATTCGTTATTATTAAACCATGCGGGCAGCAGGCCGAGTCGCGGGTAAATGTTAGCAAGGTAATATATTTAAAACTATATAAAAATATACTTTATGATTAAAATATTTGGATATAGCTAGAATATCTCATCTACTTCACTATGACAAATATTTTAAAATAAAAAAATAAATAGGCCGTCATTTCGACTGCTGACAGAAGTGAAAACTAATAAATTTGGTATAACTGTGTTATTTTTTTAATTTTAAATTAATCATAGTATAAATAATTAAAATTTCATAATTTGTAAATTTTTAATTATTATAAGTGTGGTTTTGGCATCCATTGGCACACCGAGCAATAACTATTCACATCTTGATACAGTTTATTTATTAATTGAAACATATGACGCTGCGTGTCGCCAGTCTACGTCAGATTGCGTCGACGCGTCACACGCAGCATGTCGGTGACGCGAACCCAACTTTTGCTATTACCAAATATCGCTCAACTCGGCTAAATAAGTTTTCACTTCAAAAACAAAAGTTTAACTTAACTAAATTAATTAAAATTCTAAGAAATCTATTGTTAACTGACACGCGAACCCGCGGTCGTGGAGGGATTGAGTAAGCTAAGGTGTAATAAATATCAGGTGTTCTACTGGTCGTCGTCGTCGATGCAGCGCGGCATCGAGATGCGCGGCGCGCGCGTGACGTGCGCGTCGCGCCACCGCCTGGCGCTGGCGGCGGGCGGCGACGCGCTCATCCGGCGCGCGCGCGCGCTGTGGGCCACGCTCTACATGAACTGCGACCTCAACGACGCCGAGATATGGCTCAAGACGCCCGCGCTGCCGGAGAAGGACGCGGATGAGGTTGGGATTTTCTATCTCTTTCACTCTCAAACTATGTTGAGAGAGCAGATGAGGTAGGGTTTTCTTGACAGAAAATAGGAACGTAATAGAAAAATAATAGGATAGAAAATAATTTGTCGCTGTTAAGTCATCTGTTAAACAAAAAGTATATCAGAAAACATTTTTTTTTTTATTAATATAAATCTCATATAACTTAACAACCTCGTGTCTTATTTTTTTATTTTAGAATATTCTCCAAACTACATTTAACTGATGCATGTGAACGCACAACAAACGTCGAATAGTCATATTTAAACTTCTAATTATGTGTAGAAAGTTCTTGTTATAACCCCTTTATAACATTCAAACACTGAAACCTTATCACATAGCGTAACCTGCTAATCCCGCAACCAAAATGCATATAGAACATTCTAGCACCGCCCACAGAGTTCCATCCCGCGCGCGCCGGCCATGGAGAAGTGCTACTGCCTGTCGGTGCGGCGCGTGTCGTACGGGCGCGAGGCGGGCGGCGCGGGGGGCGCGGGGGGCGCGCCGGCGCACCGCCTCGCCGTGCACGACCTGCGCGGCGCGTGGACCAAGCTCAACCGCGACCTGGCCTTCGCGCTCATTGATACATATATTAAGACACAGGTTTGTTTGATGCTTGTTTTTGTTTTTATAGCTAGCGAGTCATTTATTAAAAGCCAGTGGTAGGCAAGTAGTCACGTGCTCGCTTTAGAAATCGAATGAAACGGGTTTAAATGCCGGAGCGAATCACTTCCAGCATGATTACCACTTGTCTTGCGAACCTGGTAAATTTTTGAAAGATATGTCAAGGGCAACAATTACTCGCACTTCTATACATATAATAAAATTGTAACTAAGCCGAATCTGTACATTAAATATCTTTTGAAAATTCTTATTGAAATAGACATTATTATCGATACAGAAGCCGAATCTATAGTTTTTAGAATTTTTGTATGTCAGTCTGTCTGTTACCGCATCACAGAAAAACCACTGGAGTGATTTTGATGAAATTTGGTATGGTGATAGCTGGTTATCCGAATCAACATATAGGATACTTTTTACCGCGGGAAAATATCTCATTTCTGAGAAAAAATACAAAAACTGCAATATAAGAGTATACTAATATGTAAAACCTAAGAATTTGATTTTTGGTCATCTGAACACGAGCGGAGCCGCGGGCAATGCTATTTTACATATATAATAGTAGTATGTATATAATTTTAGTGTAATCTTTATTGACGTTATATATACAATGAAGCGATGTAAGAAAAAATAACTTTATGAACTTCTTATAAACCAAGCTGAGTTGTGACAATTTTGTTTTTTTTGGTTTAAAAATTAAAATATTAACGTTTGTATCAATTCAAACAGCAATTGAAAAAGAATTTATCAACAAAAGCGTTGAAGGAAGAAGAAAAACCAGCAACGTCTCAGCATCAAAGAGATACCGATGTAGTGTCGCCGCCTCCAGCGCCGGCGCAAGTGAGTTCGTGTAATTTTATAATATTTAGACATATGTAAATTGTGTATATTATGTGTATATATTATTTATATGTATATATTTAATTATTCCCAAATATAATAAAACAAAAGTTATGATGCGTCTATTTCTTCAAGAAAGTTTTGTTAATTAATATTTTTTTTAAAAATAGTAAATACATACGTGAAATAACGGATAGGGTTCAAATGAAAGGCATATTTATTATAATGTTATAAATTATTGAAATAATTAGTATTTTTGATAATAATAAATCAAAACATTTTCACTTACAATTTTAGCTTCATGTATTTTATACATAGTACAATATTAGGTATTATTGGGTTCCAGGCGTTTCGAATGCTTTACAGCAGCGTCGTCGTAGTCTCCAGGCCAATCTCTCTCCTGACCATGATTGCTGTAAATCTTTCGGAATGTCAGGAACCCAAAATCTAGATAAATTCACGAGTAAATCCGAAAAGATAGTTTTATTTAAAATGCCGCATATTTGCGTAAATCTAAGAAAGTATTAAATAAAAAATAATAATTAATTAATATTGCCCGTACATGTGTCGTCAGTCGGGCAACGCGAACTGCTCGGGCGGCGCCAACATGCTGGCGGCGCTGGTGGCGGAGGCGGGCGAGGCGGGCGGCGAGGCGCCCGTGGTGTTCAGCGACGAGCTGGCGGGCGCGGAGGCCGACGCGCCGCCCGCGCACACCTCGCACTCGCACCTCAAGCACGTGCTCGACGACGACAACTCCCACACCGCCTGCTTGAGTATGCTCTCCTGGTGCTTTGTTGTAGGCTGTAGACATTGGCGTGTTTTATGTTATCTGTGATCCAGATTTGAAGCTAACTTAGTAGTATAAATGCGATGTCTAGCTAACTTAGTAGTATAATACGGACAAAAGTCAAATCCTCAGGAGTCTAATAAGTAGTAGGATAAATAAAGTAAATAAATAAAAATTTTATTTATTATTTTATTTTATAATTGTCAGGAGCTCGGATATCGGTGTCAGATGTCGGACTAAAGCTGAGATTAGGTTTACGTTCTCTCCGAAGCACGGGAGTGAAACACTGTCAACTTTCATTTTTCCAGCTTTGTCTGAGAATTTCTTAACAGAAAACGTCAATAATTGAATTTGACCAGACCTGGGACTCGAACCCAGGACCTCCGGATATGCAGCCGTACAAATTAATAAACTTAATGCTTGACTAATTTATGTTGTCGCCTCGCCAGTCGAGCTGGTGAACTCGCAGGTGGTGCTGAAGGGGTGCGAGACGCGCGGCTACGTGATCCTGTGCGCGGCGCGCGCGGAGGTGCGGCAGCGCGTGCGGCGCGCGCCCGCCGCCGCCGCCTGGAGCGGCGCGCTCTCCGCCATGCAGTACTACGCCACCGTCAGCGCCGCCGACAGGGACCAGCTGGACGGTGGGGGTTTTGTGATGCTGCTAGTGCAGTTTAATTATGTATTACTATATCTGTATAAATTATTAGCGACTTAACCTCGCTTTGCTCGGGTGCCCTAGGGGCTAGGTAGGTTTTAACGGTTATATATGTGCATACATAGGTCTAGAAAAGTATGTATATATTTAAAAAAAAAACTTGAAATCATCCCTTATTTTATTTTGATAGGTCAAAAATGCCGAAAAGTTAAATCAAGTGAATAATTATTAATAATTAATAAGAAGTTCGTACTTCATGTTTTGCTACTAAGCACAATAAATGATTCTATTACAAATATTATATTATTCTAAGGTAATAATTTCTAACCAAAATTATAAGATATAACGGATTTTTAGAAGCTTAACTTGAGAAATGATTTATTTCTAATACAAACTTTCAACCCCTATATTTCACTTACTTTAACTTTCAATTTTGCAACAAAAAGCCTACCCTAGCCTATGTCCTTCTCCAAAGTCCCGTCCATCTCGATGCCAAGTTTTTATCAAAATTGGTTCAGCGGCATAGAACCAGGTTACAAATATATTTCATTGATAAATTTCAATATTTTATTTTAACACCTTAAATACGTGTTCACCAATTTTATTTAATAACTTATACGCAGAGAACATCCAGTGGGTGTCGGTGGAGGAGATCGAGGAGCGGTGGCAGGGCGCGGAGCTGGGCGCGCTGCCCGACGTGCCGCGCCTGCTGGGCAGCGGCCACTCCGCCGGCGGCGTCATCGGCCGCACCGTCGGGCCCTCCGCCGACGCCGGCCTCGCGCAGGTATTGCTACCACCAGGCAGTGGTGGTAACCGAGTGAAGCGGGTTCAAATCCCGGATCTCTATTCATCGCTGATATTCTTATGTGGGAATCATTTTTAATATCTTACGGTGTGTAGGGAATTTGCATTATTGAGAATAAATATATAATTTTTAAAAACATGTGAAGTCCAGCTTCTAAATCAAAAACTTGGCCAGCGTGTGGACTATGGGCTGATCCACTTCGCAATATTCAATTCGAGGAAGGCCACGGTGGGGCATTAAAAAGAGCTGAATGATCAGTGTATTGTGCATTTTAGATAGTAACAAAAATAGACTACGGTTATGGTTTCCAACAATAACGCTTATATTTGTATTTAATTATAACATTAAAATATGAACATGTTTGCTAAATTAGTTTACATAATATAATTGTATACAAGATTAAGGTATTAAAGAAATGTTGGTAGCTGAGGTTGAATAAAAAAATATCTGAATATTGTTTTTTTAAAAAAAAGCAACTCCCCGGCGGGGAATCGAACCCCGGTCTCCCGCGTGACAGGCGGGGATACTTACCACTATACTACCGAGGATGTGTTCGTTAAGATGAAAAAACCAATCATACTAGTATCATATATATCGTATAATCATTCATACCTCCCATGATTTTCGACTTACGCTATTTATTCAGCATAGTTAAAAAAAGTGTGTCTTATTAGTTTTTATTTATAGATATAGTTAAATGTTATAATATGTAAGTGGGTAATATTTTTGAATATAATTATTACTAAAATTAGTATCACAAATCAATATTGTGTACGTATTTGTTAATTTTTCTACGGTCGTCTACTTATTTAACTTCATAATGAAATTCTACTTTACATTTTAAATTTTATTTACATACATAGCATTATTTTTAAGGACGACTCAACAAACAGTTATTATGCTTTGCCGTGGGAATGACATTTTTTCTGTAGTAAAAGGTATCTTAAATTTTGACCCGAAAATTAAGTTATCACTAGACAAAATTTAGTTAAAATCGGTTCAGTATTTTTGCGTTTAATGCACAAAGATAAATAAACATACAGAAAAACAAACATATAGATAAACATCAAACAGACAAAAAATTCAATAACTATTGTTTTGGGGTTTATACTCTGTGAGTCTGTTACATATTTTATTAAATCTACGGATAGATTTATTTTTAATATATAACTAAACCCATGCACCCGCGTGCGCAGCTGCAACGCATAGTGTCGCGGTGTGCGTGTGAGTTCCACTACGTGTCGCACGAGGAGAGCGAGGCGGGCGGCGGCGGCGCGGCGGCCGGCGCCGAGCCCTACGACTCCTTCACGCTCATGCACCACGACCTAGAGGTCTCCACTAACTCCTTGCAGGTGACTTGCTTCTTCATTCTGTGACTCGTCTGCACAGAGTCAGTAATTCTTTTCATGGACAATGTATACGCTTGTACAACAGGATCCCAGAAAATGTTCAAAAGGCTTCTATCGCCAAATTCAAAAAAATTGTTAAAGAACGTTTGTGTGCTAAAGGCTATTATACAATAAATGATTTTATAGAAGGTGGCACACTTTGAGAATGAAATGATCGCCTCCAGGCTACTTCAACTTGATAGAAATATTGTAAATTATAATTTTACTTTAAAATAAAGATAATTTAATATTAGTCCCGCTGAGTTTCTTTCGCCAGTTCTTCTCGGTTCTGAGGCTTCTTCTTTCCGAATTTGTAGTACACTCATGACGTTCAGTAAAAAATTGTAATAATTTAATGCTGAATAAAATATTTTGAATTTGAATTATATTTTATTAACTTTATGAGAAAAAAGCCAATGTAACACTTATAATAATATTTAGAATTTTACTAAAGTAAATAAAATTAAAGTGTTATTAATTTAGTTATTTCCGACTATTCTAATTTGTTCAAAATATATATAGATGTTAATATGAAATGCTGTTCGTCGGTAAGAGAATTACTTGAGAGCGGCTGGATCGATTTGATTAATTTTAGGCTTTTTGTACGTATTTGTAAATGTTTTTTTTTTGTAAAAAAAAATAGACGGCACTGCATCTGTTAGGTCAACTAGTAGGCAATATAAATACAATTCGTGATTTACTCAGACTTTTACAATTTTTATATCACTGTTACTTTTGCCTTTTGTTTTAGGTCGGTAGATATATTTATATAAATCAAATTCACTCATTTGCAAATATAAAAATTTACAATGCTATAAATAAATAATATAGTGTTGTAACAAAATCCTCCTCGCAGTACGCGATGCTCCTCGACGTGGTGAACAACGTGGTGCTGCACGTGGAGCCCGAGCGGCGCCGCACGCTGGAGCGCCGCGCGCGCATGCGCTTCCAGCTGCAGCTGCACCGCGACACCGACCCGCGCCACCTCATACACAAGCTGCAGACGCAGGTCAACACACCGCTTGCCTAATTTCCAATCAAGTGGAATTATACCACAATTAAACATGACTAATTTTGGTGACTAAATTGTTTTTAACAGATGCAGTACTTACAAAATGTAAAATGGTGATTTAAGAAGTTATTTCAATTTCGTTTTGCTAACGGTTGTGTAAGTCAGAATTTATAAATGATAGAGCAAAAAAGGATAATGTTAATATCTAACGTTTGACAGAAAGTTGGTTTCTATCACTCGGTAGTAAACATAAAAGTACATAAATACAATTTAATAGTAAAGCAACAATAGAATATAATAAATTAATAGCTTTTTAATTTAGTATTCAAGTAAAAAAAAAAGCAAAAAGGTCTCCCCGGCGGGGAATCGAACCCCGGTCTCCCGCGTGACAGGCGGGGATACTTACCACTATACTACCGAGGATGTGATTATCAATATGAAATAGCGCACCGTACTAGTATTTGGCCGTATATGACATCATCACCTTGACAATCTTTATATTAATATTTGTATGGAGATTAATAGATAAGTTCCTTTTAATATGAAAAGAATGATATCACTAGTATTCATATTATACGAACGTAGGAAAATTTTCATTTTAAATCATTCGAGTTATTTATTATTAATGTGTCATTACTGAATAAGGTATTATACTATATAATTTGCCACATGTATAGATTAAAATTAGATAATATAGCTGATATGAAATTTTAAGATAATAAGGGTTATTTTTTGTTTGTTTATTTTTTTTTTGTTGTGTTTATAGTTTAGTTATTTGCAAGGGAGTTTTCATTAATTTTAAGTCAATAAATTATTTGAAGTATTCAGTTGAATATTTTAACGCTTGAATTTATGAATTATTTAAAAAAGAATGAATGACAACTTTTATGTATTTTATTAATTTTATTTACTTTGTTTTATAATAAAATAAGGAAAAAATGTGTTAATTATCACAAATGAATATGAATATTATATTAAGCTTAATACTTTGCTTTAATATGTTATAAGTATGTTTTTAATCTTAGGTGAGAGAGTCTCTAGCACGACTTCGACGTCTGGAGAAAGAATATTACCTTAAAAACCGGTGCATCAATGGGAATGATCCAGCAGCTCTCGCGGAGCTCAAGGCTCTGGATGATCAGGTATGATAATTCTGTAAATATTTTATTTTTATTTGTGTTGTTTTTTTTTATTATTTTATATTATTTATTGTTAAGTAGTATTGAACAAATTTTGAATTTTAGAATAAATATAGTATACAAATATTATTTGAATGAGGTGACATATTAAAATGTTTGTGTAAGGAATTTATTATTTCTGAAAATCAACTATTACGGTACTAAAAATATAAACTTATATTTATATTTTTGGCAAAAAAAAAATTCGGTAAATTGCGAGTTGCATTCACACATGAAGGATTCCTTACCATCGTACATGCATTTTTTATTAATATGACTTTTACTTTATGTATGTAGTATATTAACTTTGATGATCTATTACGAACGTTAAAAAATGTTCATGAGATACAGCCCTCTGACAGACGGGCTGCGGAGGCTTAGTAATAGGGTTCCGTTGGCACCCTTCAGGTATGGAACCTTAAAAAGTGTTTCAACTTAACATACGCTATAATAACGCTATAATATAATATACATATATTGATGATATGATATTGTATGCGTTTCGTGTGCGACCTACGACACACTAGCCAGACTATTATTACAGTATATGTGAAAGTTTCTGTGTGTATATTTGTTATTCCACGCTCGAACCGCTAAACGGATTAGGACGTTCTTTACATATATAGATGTGGAGTAGGTATGTATAATGTATGAATGTGCAGGTGAACGAGTGCAAGGAGGCGGCGTGGTCGCTGGGCGAGGAGCTGGACGCGATGGTGCGCGCGTGGCGCGAGGCGCGCGCCGCGGCGCCGGCGCCGCGCGCCACGCACGCGCCGCCGCACCGCTACAACGAGATCTGCTTCAAGTCCGCGCGCTGGCGCCTCACCGACGCCGACGGCCAGCTCGGCATCGCCGACCTGCTGCTCACCAACTTCCTGTGACTACTACACTACACTACTACCTACACTTACCATCGAACTCCTTCTCTCTCTTTCTATCTCTTTCTATCTATCTCTCTTCCTTATTCCGCCATTTTAATGCCGCTTTACTTGGTTTCTACTATCTATACATTCTAATTATTTGATTCTAACATCACAATATAAAAGTCCATACAATTATTAGATAATGGCTTTTGATTTTAACGAAAGTATGGTCAAATGCAAGGGTAGTTAAAAATACCAATTTTAATGGCTATTCGAATTTAAAACAGTGTATTGATATGCCGTGAAAGAGAGAAGAAAGTTAAGTTAAGTTTAAATTATGCATATTTTTTAATTAAAAAAATCTTTTTTATTTACAATCCAGAGTGAATATAGCATGTATCTAAGATTGACGTTTGAGCTAATTTTTATCGTAAACGCAAGCAGAGCCGCGGTCATCAATTAGTTTATAATATTCAAAATTTTTAAGACCTGAGCATAACAATCCTTGTTATTAAATGTAAGTCAAGGCCAAGGTCAGAGGAAAGATACCGCTTGTACATTACTACTAAGTATATACTATATATGAGTAATTGCTTGACCATTGAATTAATTATGCAAATTAATTAATAATTTTAATATTTAAATCTTGTCTTATCATTTAATATTATATTATTATTAACTAGCGGCTTATCCTCGCTTCACTCGGGTTCACTTCCAGAAAAACAAAAACAAATCTATCCCACAGGAACCTCACATTTTTCCGGGATAAAAAGTAGCCTAAGTGTTGTTTTATATAATCATATATGTAATATATATATTTTCTATATATATAATATAATTGTATTGGCTATATTATTATAAAGTTTCATTAAAATCCATTCATTAGTTTTTGTGTGTAAACTCTTCACGTCATTCAACAAACATCCATACATCTATACATCCAGACATCCATACATCCTCACAAACTTTCGCATTCATAATATTAAGTAGGATTAGTAGTATAAAACTGGTAGTCGATTCAAAATCGATTATGTTATGTTATTGATTATAATCTAATTATTTCATTGTCTGACACATCAGGTACACGAAGACATCGCGGTCTGACGACTCAGTGGAACATCAGCTAGAGCTGGGCTACGTGCGAGTCACGAACCTGCTACCCAATGAACCTTTCCCAGAAGTAAGTTGTGAAATTTGACCGACTTCAAGTGAAAGGAGGTACCTACTTAATTTGGATGATAATATCTTTCTGGTCAAATTCATTGAGACTAGTCAACTGCACAGGAGATATTGCAGTGTAAACTGAGATTCGAACCCAGAAACTCCGGATGTGCAGCCGTACGAGTCACTACACTACCTATTTAGTAACGAATAACACTCTATTGTTCACTTTGTTTGTTCGAGATGTTAGTTTTCATTTAATCAGTATCGCTTATACTTAACCGCAATAAACATTTACTTGTTACGTTAAATATATATATTTTCAATATAACAGGATAAACTCTTGTTTATTCAAATATGTAAATTGAATTTCTTACAAGAATTCACTCTCAGATTGACATTTTGTCAACAACTTTTATTATGTTCTATGCTTATCTATATTACATTATATCCTTATTACTTAGTTACATAACGCTCAAAAGAGTGACTTATTTTCATACAAAATAGAACTGTGCTATTAGATTTTTGATTTTATGCCCTATATTAAAATCTAAGGTGGTGTAGTGGCTTGCATGTAATACTGCACTTCCTAAGGTTCTGGGTTCGAGTTTCGGGTCGGACTAAATTTAGTTGTAGAGTCTTTCTATCAGAAATACCCAGTAATAGCCTAGAGTTGGGATGTTGACGGTTTTTCACACTCGTTCTTCGTTGAACACGTAAAGTCTAAAAACTATGTCCAGTGAATTTTTATTCCTTTTACTTTACGACTTTATACTTTATGCGTGTACGCGCACTATTATATATATATATATATATATATATATATATATATATATATATATGTCGTGTTATCCATAAACTACGAACATCGTCTTTGGTGGTTACTCATCTTGTGGGCGTTATCAGGGCTCAGATAATAAAGTATTCAATGCTCAATACATAATTTAATCAGGGAAATCACAATGTTATACACTTGAAACGGTAATTCTAATGATTTAGAGCTAGCGGGTTCACAGTCACCGATCATCGACTTCCAACTATAATATCAAAGCATAACTCTCTATGATCCACCATGATCAACCAACTTTACTAAACCACGTATCTGCAAAGAATTTTGTGATAGCGTCTCGACCCCGCTCGAGACTAAATCTCTGCTCTAAATTCAAAATCAATTTCAAAGCAATAAAAAGTAAATTAAAGATAGTGACTTTAAACAATAATAAGGTTTCATAACAGAAAAAGGTAACTAAATCCTCCTCTGTCATATATATATTACATTGTTGGCTGGTCTCAGTGAGGGCATTACTATAAATATACTTTATTCCAACAGGATAAGAACAAGAGGTTAAGTTTGGCCTATAATTTCGTTTTTTTCTAGGGCTAACTAATTTTCCCTAATATGCATATACATACATACATATTATGTGTATACCTTTTACAATGGGAAATGCATTTACGCATACCACCTGCATGCATACAGGTGGTTATGCAGGACTCACTGGTATTATGTGTAAACCTAACATACCCATTCGTCCACCGCCAGGTGCTGGCCCCGCAGGCGGCGTCGGGGCGCGCGCCGGTGGCGCGGCGCGCGGCGCTGCGCGTGTTCTGCCGCGACCGCCCGCCCGTCGGCGGCATCTCCGTCAAGGAGCACTTCGAGGTCAACATCGTGCCCATACGGATAGGTCGGTGTTATACCTACCTATGTATAAGTTGTCAGTTTTATTAAGAAAAAAATGGTATTTTCGCTAGGAAAAATACAATTTTTCATGTAAATACATTGAAGGCTATAAGATATTTTTTTAATGTAAAAGAAGTAACCAGATGGACATAACCTGTAGGTTTTTTTAATAGAGCTTCATTTTAAATTAACAATGTAATCGTACATATTATTGTTCATATAAATTAAACATCATTTAAATAAGCTATTTTTAAATATATTTTTTATAATATCGCATCACAAATTAAATCATAAAAATTCAATTTATACTGATGCAATTTAAATTCGTTTCATTTATAAAAAGGTCTGACAAAGAAGTTCTTCAACACCATGCTGAAATTCTGTTTCCCTGAACGCGACCCGGACGCTATAGAGGAGGGCGAGGAAGAAGGAGAAAGACCCGGCTCAAAGAAGCTGAAGAAGAAACCCAAAGACTCAAATTCTAACTTCTACGTGAAGAGAGATAAGAAGGATAAGGATGATGTGGAAAAGATGAAGGTACAGAAATGTTGATGGTAGTTATAGAAAATTAATAAGAAAGGGTTAAAATTAATATGAAGTCTACAATATTATTTTTTATAACAATAAATATGAATTAAAATAACTGTGAAACGAACAAATTCATATTGGAATATTTACGCGGAACAATTTTAAAAATAACTTAATCAATTTACCGGAACTCTTGTCAGATAATCTAGAAAGGTGCAATAATATTTATTTGGATTTCCTTATATATATTTTGATATAACTGCATCGTTGGTTTATTGCATTTACTGATGTCCAAGGTTTGAGTCTTAAGATGGGCGAATTATTGGGGTTTTTCATAAAAACGTCTTAGCCAGAGGTTGAAAGTTAACATTTAAGTTAAACCTCCGTGTCTACGCACTGTCAGTACAGTTATGTCAATGTATACTATAGCGCATACTATATATCTACACTTTTACATCTACATTTACAATAATATTATAAGAGGAAAGATTTGTATTTTTGTATGTTTGTAACTAATAAACTCAAAATCTACTGGACTGATTTAGATAAAATTTGGTAAGAAGGTAGTTGGTAAGTTGGTAGTTGAGACCTTGGGACGGTCGTAGGATTATTTTTTATTCCAGAAATCATCCCTTAAAGGGGTGAAAATGGAGGTGAAAGTTTGTATGGGGAAGCAATCTAGGGACGAAGTACACTATAACTCAGTTTCCACATAACAGGAGCGTGCAGAGAAGAACAAGCTGTTTATCTACATCAAGATCCCGGAGGTGCCGGTGCGCGTCTCGTACAAGGGCAGCAAGGAGAAGAACCTGGAGGACGTGCGCGACCTGCCGCTGGTGCTGCCCACGCTGGAGTACCACAATGTCACCTGGACCTGGCTTGACCTGCTGCTCGCCACCAAAAGTGACACCAGGAGGTAATGCTACTTCAGCTCATAATCCATCTTGGTACTAAATATCCAAATCCGTCCAGATGTTTTATCATTAAGACGCAACAAACATACATACACATATAAACTTTCTCTTTAATGATTTTGCTACAATGCCGCACCGAGTGTTCGGACTAATTTCAATAACCACTCTACGGATTTTCGTTTAGTTTTTACCAATAGAAAGAGGGATTATCCAAATAAATTACAGATTATAATTTATAAACATACTAGCGACTCACCCTCGCTTCGCTCGGGTTCCTACATGGTTTAGGTTGATTCTCCATTGTCGCGGTCGAATACGCAAGCTATCCCGAGGCCCTGTCTCTTGCTATGGGGATCACCGTGGTGGTTTTAGTGGGTAGTCTGTCACGCTTCTCGTAACAGGAGTCCCACATACCTATGTGGGCAGGCAGCACCCGTAATGGGGTTTCCTCACGAATCAAAAAAAAAAAGGTTGATTCTCCATACAATCTTTCATGCCCATATTCACCTCCTTAAGGGATGATTCAGGAGAATAAAAAATATCCTATGTCCTTCCCAGGGTTTCAAACTATCTTCGTATTAAATTTCATCTAAATCAATCCAACAGTTTCAAAGATTAGCCCGTACAAACAGACAGAGAAACAAAAAATTAAAAAAAATATTATGGATTTGTTCTATTTCGCTTCTTACATACCCCTGACTTGGTTTTTAGCATTTTTTTCTATGTACAGACATTCGACCTCTACTTAAATTTATAGATACATTATTTAAATTTGAAACATTTCGTATTGGTCTCCAGAGTGATAGTGTCGCAGGCGATCCGACAGAAGCTGCAGCTGCACCGGCGCGCCGCCGCCGCGCCCGAGCCGCTCGAGGAGGACAAGGCGCGCCTGCTGCTGGGCGACCGCACCGTACGTACACGCACGACGAACACCACACACTCCACACTTGTAGGGACATCGGTGGGATTGTGAATGGCATTGCCTGTATACACCTGCTTACACACATATATAGTATAGATAGATATACACAGAATAAATAGTGAAATAATTGTTTTTTTGAAGTGAAAACTTCTAGAGGCAGGTTTGGATGGGGAATAATTTCATGTAAGTCGTCATCGACATGGTCACGTGACGAGTTAATGCTAATACTCAGGAGTGCCGATAGATGTCAAAAACAGATAAATGTAAACAGTTTTAATTTATAAATTTTAATTTAAGACCAAACAATTTGAATATCCAAAAATAACAACTGTTTGTTAATATTTTTCACTTGTATCGGCAGGCCTCATCATGACTGCCATTTTTTTTAGTATATTAGCGACTTGCCCTTCCTTCGCTCTTACTTGCGTCCCAGAGTTTGAATGGTTTTGGAACGCATAAAAGACAAACGTGGAGGCGAGAGTTAATCGCTAGTGTATAATAATTTGTACTTGATTATAATCTTATTTTATTTTAGGTCGCAGAAAGCAAACCGCATAAGAAGAGCACGCCGAGTGTATTCAAATTTTCCAAATCGTAAGATGGAAGTGAAAGAAAATAAGACTTAATTGTTTATTATTGATGTAATGATATGTATACGAAATGAATATAGCAAATTGCTCTATGATGTAGATGCTTAGAGCTATCCATCTGCGAAGTGTGAGCGAGACGAAGATATGTTGCGGCTACGGGTTTCTTTTTCTGCAAAGAGATGATATTGACATTAAAAATCTATGAAAATATATAACACACATAGGTCGTATACACGTTGTCTCTTTTTAAAGTGATCAGTTTTGCGAGGCTTCTCGGTTTTTCTAATATCTCTTAGCATGAAATGCTAAAATGTGTTGGAATGATACCTGCAAGGAATAACATTGTACTCAGTATTGTAACAATATCAGATATGGAATATACTATATATAAAATTCCAGTGTATGTTTGTTCCTAATTCATCTCCTTCTAAACGACTTGACAAATTTTGATGCATTTTTTGTTTACATAGATGGTTTATAGCTATAGTTGGATCCAGTAAATGGTACTGTTGTCAAGAATTCGATTTTTTAATTTTCCTACTTTTAATGTAGGTATGTGCTAGGAAAACGTCTGTCTATCGGGTCCGCTAGTAAATATGTAATATCATACGTTATACACATATCAACATCAAATATATATATATATATATATATATATGTATATATAAAACAATTTTTATGTATAAATTATTCTTATAGTGAGTACAATATTGTTCTTTGTATTTTTTCTTATTTATATTTATTCTATAGCTTTGTTTCATTAAATTATTCAAATGTTTTTTATTATTTAAAAATGATATGAGCAAATAGTTGTATTAGAATTATAAAATTCAGGCCTTAACCGTATTTAAATATATTTTTATTTAGGTCTTGTTACAGTTAATTTTAAAATTTACTTATTAATATTACATGATGAGGTTAAATCATTATATTTTTTTATAAATAATAAAATCAAAATCTTATGAAATCCAACGAATTCAAAGATTTTGGTCATTCCATAAAATTATAAGTTAAAGTAATTGGTTTATTACGAAGCTATATATAAATAAAATTTTGCACAGAATTGATATATAAAAACATAGATACATATTTCCTAACACATATCTCTTAAAAAAGTGGCGTCGACTTAAGTCACACCAAAGAATGAAAATCAAAAACCGGAAGTTCTAATTGTCTAATCACAAATTCGACCTTATGCCACATAAAGTACGTTTTAAACGAAACAACCTGCGTTTTTGTCATTCGAAAAGTAATGAACAAAAGAGATTTAAAAAAAGCGCACTGTTTCGAATTGCGCATTTTTTCTTAAGATATTTAAGACGCTAATTGTGTATCTTGAGTTTTTGTATATCAGTGATAGAGACATATTTATTATTATATTTGTGGTTATTATAAAAATGGCGGTTGTTTTTACAAGATGAAGAACTTACATAGGCTATGTTTTATATTTTAGATATTCCTGAAATGATCAATTGTTTGATTTCAAAGTATAAGGCACGCTGCGCTGTCTATTAATTATATTGATCGTTTTTTATTCAATATTATTACATGTTTTATGAATGTCAATGAATATATATATTTTTTCAAATTGAAACCTCAAATAGCCAAAAAAATTAATCAAACACTTCAGAGGGAGTATGCTGATTATTAACTTTTTTTATCCTTATCTTGCTTTTGATTAAAACAGACTGTCGATAGAACAAATACCTCAAATGAGAAACGAACCTGCAACGTTTGGTGCTAGAACAGTAATTATTTTTAATTATCACCGCGCCAAAGGGCCAATTTGGCCAACTACGAAGCAATAGTAATATATAATATACATTACGTATGTATTATTTATTAGTACTATTATTGTCAATTATATACATACATATGGAAATATTGTTAAAGGTGTCTGCCCACTACACCGTCTCATACCATGACTGTGTTATGAACGTATCAGGCACGGAAACGAGCATGGCATGGACTACTGTGGCCGCTAGACCGTATCAACAGCGTATCATACCCATACATAACTGTTTTTGTGCTGCGTATGCTCACCTTTGCGTATGCGCCTCCCGCGCGCACCGGGCCCGCGGCGTCGCGTACCAGGCACGGAGCGTACCGGCACCGGCAAAATATTCTCCCCGACAATTGTTACCGCTCCGTGCACGGCACGCGACGGTGCCGGTACGGTGCCAGTCCGGTGACGGAACAGTCTAGTGGGCAAAGTCTCACACTTTTCAATACAAAGGATATTTTTTGCCTGACACGGTCCCAGCACGGTCATGGTATGAGACGGTGTAGTGGGCAGACACCTTAAAGTATAATGCACAATGTATGCAAATGCTGAAATTGAAATGAGTATGATATTGTATTTTAAGATAAAATGTAATATAAATATTGCTTTACTACTGCTCTTTTAATATTGCACGCTATTTTGAATTTTTTAAGGTTCCATATTTGAAAGAATCCTCGTAGGATCACTTCGTTATCCGTCCGTCTGTCTGTTCAGACCTATTATCTCAGTAATACGTGGGTGTTTCAAATTGTAATTATATATTTTTTTATTATTAAAAACAATCAGTATACATTGATTGTATTAATTTTATTGTGTAATCCAAAGCGTTTTGAGGACGACAGTAGGGAAGTAATATTAATTTATTCACTCGATATTATAATCATATGAAATAGAATTAATCATTTATTTTAATGGTTTATTTATTAGCACCAGTATTCCTTATGTAATGTTAAGAAAAATATTTTATACGAGGCATGTTATTCTTGTAGCAATATATTTGTATACTTAACGTTTATATGATATTTTTTTTTAAACCCCTACCCATACACTTTTCATTTTGCATTTACCCATAGCGGAATAATCTTGCCAACAAATTATATTTATTAATGAAAAACCCATTTTGCTTTTAATTCGGTAAATAAATTCAGATATTAAGACAAACAATGGAAAATCTACATTCGCAATGTGCATATTTTATTTAGTAAATATCAGGTAACATATACTATCAGATTTACTATAAGCTAGTTTTTGTGTAATAAATCATTGAAATTTTTGTACGAGTGAGAATTCTGAACAATTAATTATTATGTTTTCCTTTGGAAATACGAGATTTCCTTGTAATAAGAGGTATGATAAATGTTGATCCAAGTACATAATAAGTAAATTAAGTTAAAATCCGTTCAATAGGTAGTTTTTGCGTAAAAAGCAAACAGACAAAATTTTTGTCAGTTATGGTTTTGGGGTCTTTACACAATACGTAACAGACATTGTTCCTAAACTAATATCAGTAATACATACGAATATATTATGATGTTTTATATTAATCGTTTTTGTTATCGTTAATTCGTTTAATTTTTTATATGTTAAGCGAAATTTTCATAATAATTGTGGATCGATTTTCATAATTGTCTTTCAAATGAATTGGTTTTAACTTTTAAACCTCAGGTGTCACCAAGAAATGAAAAAAATTACGCCCTAAAAGTGTACTTTATAAAAAGCATTTTAATTTTTTTTATATGTTGGGACATTAACACACAGCACCATCTAGTTCCATGGTAAGCTACGAGACTCTTGTTATGGATACAAGATAGTTGATACGCTACACATATATAAACTTTTAAAATACATACATATTATAAATATAAACACCTATGACTGGAGTACAAACATTGGTGCTAATCACACAATGAATGCCCCCAGCGGGACTCGAACCCGCGACCGCTGGCACAGCGAGTAGGTTCACTGAGCCAAACGTGTCGTCGACATACATATATCTTCTTCTAACTTCCTTACCTACATATATCTTCTTCTAATTTCTAAAAGTTGGAAGAAGCCTTTGTCGATAAACAAATAGATAAAACTGTGGCCGATTTTTTCTAGATTAACAATTAGTTTTGTTTTAACTAGTATGTACTTTATTTGAATAAAAGGTATATTATATGTATATCTTATCGTAAGTTCTTTGTATTATTTACAATTTATGAGTATTGTGTTATGGATACCAGATAGTTGATACACTATACATATATATAAATTTAAGTACATACATATTAAAAATATAAATATAAACACTCATGATGAACCCACGACCGCTGCCACAGCGAGTAGGGTCACTACAGCCAACTGAAGCCAAACTGAGCCAAACATGTTGTCAAAAAGTAAAAACATAAAAATTCATTTTCAAAGATTTTAGTTTTTTTTTTATTTCGTTCATTTTTTTGATTCATTCATTTAATTACTACGATTTTAAGTTAAAAATAAAAATCTTTCTTTTTTAATGGCTTCTATTACACAGCTCTCCAAGAAATCCGCTTGACGTTAAACAAAAATGTTATATATGACAGAATCGTATTCACTACCACTATCACGCTACGAAATTCTATACCACTGCGCTAAACTGCCAAAAGTAAGTTGATTGTTTTATAATAGAAACCATTTGTATCAAGTGGTTGTAAACAAAACATTTTTTACGTTGATAGGGCGTTCGTAGAGTACGAGAGTGCAGTGGCTAATTGAGGAAATTGGTAGAGTGGCCCGTTGTTCTCAACTAACTTGTTAACTTGTTACTACTCAACTGTTGTTTCTTATTTAACGACGATTTAGTTTATATGTTTACTTAAATGCTCTACATCTCAAGAGTGTAGTTACCATGTTTTTAGGGTTCCGTATCCGAAGGATGCCAACGGGACTATTACTAAGTCCGTCTGTCAGCGGGCTGTATTTCACGAACCGTAATAGGTAAAGAGTTGAAATGTTCATATAATGTTATATCTGGTACAATGGTATGGAACACTTCGTCTGCGAGTCCGACTCGCACTTGACCGGGTTTTTTTTAAAACTTACCTAATTTATTTTTAAATCTGTGTTATCATAACTTTTTTGAACCTTTAAAGAAGATAATGAGATTAACGTAACATTAAAATACAATTTATTATGCTATAATGCTTGCACTTGCACAAATATAATATTTTAGACTAACAGTGCCCGCGGCTCCGCCCGCGTTCATATGACCAAAAACCAAATTCTTAGGTTTTACATATTAGCACAATACTTTTACATTGCAGTTTTTGTATTTTTTCTCAAAAATGAAATATTTTCCCGCAGTAAAAAGTATCCTATATGTTGACCCGGATAACCAGCTATGATCATACCAAATTTCATCAAAATCCCTCCAGTGGTTTTCCCGTGATGCGGTAACAGACAGACAGACAGACAAAAATTCTAAAAACTATAGATTCGGCCTCTGTATCGATAATAATGTCTATTTCAATAAGATTTTCCCTAAAAATCGTTAATGTACCTTCAGATTCGGCTTAGTTACAATTTTCAACCGACTTCAAAAAGGAGGAGGTTCTCAATTCGACTGTATGTTTTTTTTTTTTTTATGTTTGTTACCTCAGAACTCCGTCATTTATTAACCGATTTGAAAATTTTTTGTTTTGTTTGAAAGGGTATACTTCCAGATTGGTCCCATTTAAATTTCAAAAAAAAATACCACCCCTAAGGGTGGAAAAACAAGAAATGATGAATTTAACCTACTTCTAATTGTCATATTGACTTGAAATTTTGCAAGTATTTCTATTTCCGTTGATAGTACAGTGGTTCGGTGTTGTTGACCTGATCTGATGGCAAGGCCAGAAGGTGGATAGGTGGAACTCTTCAACGGCTAATAGTAGATACTTTGAGTTTGGGCTTATTTTGTTTGATTTGACAAGCCTAACACGTTAGATTTCTTACTGTGCTACTACTGTCTACACTAAAAAGGGAAAAATAAAAACTTTTTAACAAAAAAATAAAAACCGACTTCAAACAAAAGCACTAAAAAGTAAAAAATAACTGATTGGTAGTTTTCATTTACTATACATACCTAATCAAATATTTTCGAAGTCGGTGTGCTTTGGGTAAGTAGTTAAAGCCTACCTATTAAATACATACCTAATCAAATATTTTTGAAATCGGTGCCAGCCCATACAAAGCAAAGCACACCGACTTCGAAAATATTTGATTAGGTATGTATAGTAAATGAAAACTACCAATCAGTTATTTTTTTACTTTTTAGTGCTTTTGTTTGAAGTCGGTTTTTATTTTTTTGTTAAAAAGTTTTTATATTATATGTATAGAAGAGCTAACAATTTATCCTGAATTTAACCTCGACCTAAAAATTTCCAAATGAAACGCAAATTTTCTATATAGTTTAATATAAATATAGGTAAATAAATACTAAGTATTGGCAGTTTTGATTTATATGTTTCTCTGAATTAATTATACGTGTCAAGGGCGCGGTTGCTAGACGTCATATCGTATTCCAAAACACTCATCTTCGGAGAAAAACGCGCGAAACAGTTTGTGAAGCATTTTCCGAAATTATTTTACTCGCGGTTACCTCATTCGCCCTTGTCATACGTTTACGGCTTACCCGTCGACCGTCAGTATCGCGGCGACTGACGACCGGACTGTACGTACCCGTCGTATATACGATCTCGAACTCGAGAAACGAATCATGAGGACGAATGATATAAGTTATTTTAATATATAAATTTAATAAATAAATAGTGCTATTATATTTTGTGCAGTGTGACTGACGTGTTTAATTTTTTTTATAATGGCAATATTTTTGTGCGTTTTCGTATGCGCCTGGGCGGCCGCCCTGGGCTTTAATGTGGACATCCCTTCGAGGGTAGTTTACACGGGAAATTATCAGTCTATGTTTGGATTTACTGTGCAGTCTCATGTGGATGGCGACAGCAAAATGTAAGTATTTTTTATGTGTATATATATTATCGTATGTAGAGTCTCATGATTCGAGTGTAAACAGATCGTGCAGTCTGTAATTACATTTTTATCGTACAATAAATAAAATTTTAAAACAATAAGCGCATAAATCTTTTCAATATCTTTTTCGTATGATAAAATATTTGGGCAATTTCGCGACGCTGAAATAACTCTTCGGCGAAACTCATTGAGTGGCATTTCTCTGGAACGGCACACGCGAGGTCTGAGCGGACAATAAAATTAAATTTTTTTGAGTACATAAATCCTTGAGATTAAATTTAATATTTTATGCTCGACGCAGAGGTATAAATGGTAATTGTGAAGGTTGTGGCCGGCGCGGGCGGCGCGGGCGCAGTTTTATCGGTAATGACATCATCGTTCAAGAAGTTCATAAGTGCGATTTTTAGCACACTTTCAATTGAATCTCATACAATATTGCTTAAGATGTTCTAATATGCAAAGAGAAGTTCTTTATTAACAATGTGTTGAACAAATTAAAGAACCAACCAGGACTAACTCATGCAAAATGTGCAATCTGCATGCTAATTATTAGCATGAAAAATAGAATTGAAAATTATATTATGAATTAAAATAATAATTACGATATTGACGACTTATATGGTCCAAAGCTTAGTTTTAATTTTATTACTAACACGTAATATTTTTTTGATTAGCGATTTTTTTTTAATTTGTAAACAAAAATATTTTTCAAGATCACGATCCCTAAGATAAATAAGCTAAATTAATAGAATTTCAATTTACAATTCTCATATTATATTATACTTTATATTTTATAAGTTCTGATAGCGGTACATTTTTGCATAACTGAGTTCAATTGTTACGGGCGTAAGTTTTGCACTTTGCATATCATCGCATTACGGCCGTGTGTGAAGAGTATAATAATCTTATACAGTACACGATACGATTGACAGTGTTTCTTTGATGTCTCGCCTCGGTCAATCAGTCGACTAATGGATCGTCTCATGTTCTGCGTTACAAACATCTACAAATGTAGCAAACTATAAACATAATGCAACTTCCTTTCAATGTAAGTGTTTGTTGAGAAATACAATGTAATTATTTATCTGTGGCAGACTTACTTTTAATATATTTTTTAAAATGAATTATTATTTTTAGTTATACAGTTTTAATATTTATCGACACCCAGTATCTTATAAAAGTGGGAATGCGCAGGATTTCGCTAAAACTTAACACATTTTTGGACTACAGACTAATTGGATATATGTAAAATGTTAGTGAGTATCGTTTCCTATACATAAACACGTCCTTTTTCGTTAAGTTAGTTTTCCAATGACTAATATTCTTAGCTAATGTTATGCAAAAAATCACGATTCGTTACTCCGTTTATGCGTCAAAGAAGGACAAACAGGCAAACACACGCTCCCATTAATAGTAGATAATTTATATACATACATACATATGTATGTAAATAAATATACATACGATTAAAAATTAAGAATTTCTATTCTTGTGCATTTCTTTTAATAAATAAAATATTAATTTTCTATCATTTAAAGTCAGTTATAATTCACTAAAACAAAGCTCCAACAGCAACTCGGCCATATAAATAGATAAGAAGACCATCCATACCATGCTTCATTTCCCATATTACATGTATTTAGTATGCACGCTCACAAACTCCTTACTGTTTAATCAGCATTATTATATCTATTTAGCACACAGACACACAGACACACACAGTTACACAGCTCGTGGTTCAGGGTTCGACGAACTGGAATCCAAAAGCCAGTGTGACATTTTGTTTCGCAACCTGCCGTGAGAACCTGACCTAATATTTTACGCCAATTAATATGATGTATAAGATTTGAAGGCGGCATCTTCAAAGTTCGCAAAAGAACATTATTTATATAAAACCTAACTTTAAGTTAAATAGCATCACTATAGTGATTTAAACTATAAGTTAATTAAGTATAATGTATTTCTTAATATAATGTAAAGCTACTTATCGTAATTAAGTAATTATTTTAACAATTAACAAGTAGCGATAAGTGTAAACTAGACGCGGCTTAGATAATATTTAAATATAATTAATAAATGGTGAAAGTCACTGTAATCGGATTTTAAGTATATTTTATTGAATTCCTGTGATTCACTAGTGATGAGTCACAGTTATGGTCCTAATAATAGCTGTTTTATTTGTCAAAAGTTTGGAAATTAAATTCTATAACAGAAATATTTTAACAAAATATACTTTTTTTTTCACATTTATTATTGTTTGATATATGTAGCATTTGAAATGTATGTCAACCTAGTATAAAAGTAATTTGTTTAAACGAAAAAAATTTAAATGCAAAATACTCTGTGACACGATTTTTCATTGTAATATAATATTTGGTCTGCGTTTCATTGTTTTTAGAATGTCATTGTAATGTTGATATATTGAGTCAGGAGTTTGTCAGATTTCTGTTAAATAAGTAATAGCTGTAGGCTTATTTACTTTAACGCCCTCGCAAGTCTGGACAATGGGGCGCAAAAATTCTGGTACCGGAAACACGTCAGGCGTCACATGTGCAGCACATGCGCCGACGTTTCGCCCTTTTTAACTTTTTTCACTCCAACGCAGCTATTTTTGTTTGTGGGGTGATTCGTGATTTATGATTTCGTTCAAAATGACAGCTCATTTAATGACCATTGCTAATAGAGATATATTTTTTGAGTTATATTCTCCTGTAAGTAATGGGGTTGTATATATGTATTGAAGACAGCGCAATTATATTGTGCCCCTTTCTATTGTTGCCCTTGTGGGGCAGACAGAGACTACGTTAAATCTCCTAATATTTCTATTCTCATTTTTTCTAAGACTGGATCACTGTTTAAAGAATGGAACAAGACCTTTGTTCTATTTCGCTATTACGGTGTACATTTTCACATGATTAATTATATCTTATCCGTTATTATAGCTGGAAATTCAGCAATTTCGAGCTACTTTACTTTGTTGACGACACGCTTGGCTCAGTTTGTAGTGACCCTACTTTCTGTGCCAGCGGTCGCGGGTTCGAGTTCCGCTGGGGGCATTCATTTGTGTGATGACGAATGTTTGTACTCCAGTCATGGGTGTTTATATTTATAATATGTATGTATTTAAAGTTATATATGTGTAGTGTATCAACTATCTGGTATCCATAACACAAGCCTCGTAACTTACCATGGAACTAGATGGCGCTGTGTGTTAATGTCCCAACATATTTATTTATTTATTATTTACTTTACTTCAATGATTGGATAAATTAAAGTTAACTAGAATAAGGATAAATGTACCACCAAACTGTAGAAATGTTTATTCTATTAACACTCAAATATCATTAACTTGCCATTTGAAGCAAGTTCCTTCATCCTATTAATGGTAGAGATAAGTAATGACTGTTGACGTTTACAGCTGTGGTCAGATGGGTTTTTTTATCGATATATTGATGTTACTGTCCAAATGTAGGTTTAAGAGTGTTGTGATTTATGGGTGGTGTTACTTAGCTTAGATGTTGACCTCATGTTCCTTTTATAAGAGTCCTTGTTATAATATTTTATCAATCGTTGGGATTTGAAAGTGTAGAGTTTTAATTTTAAATATACGTATATGTGGTACTTACATATTTTTATTTCACGTATAGGTAATATATTTGAAAATAAATATTTACAAGTCAACTCTTAAATAGCTGGTCAAATTTTTATAAAATATAGCTTAAAATTATTTCAATTAGATTCTAAAATATAAAAGTTTTACGAAATAAGACCATCCGCTGTACCCGATCCTTCGTTTTTACCGCTCAGGTCAAAAATATATTATTATTCACAAATACAGTAAACAATATGGCATTTTGTAATAAAATGCAAAAAACTGTGATTTAATGCCTGAAATAAAAAAATAAAATGTATTCTATACTAAATTTAAGTTCTAGTATAAAATAACTAGCACTGCCCGCGGCTCCGCCTGCGTTCAGATGACCAGAAACCAAATTCTTAGGTTTTACATATTAGTATACTCTTACATTACAGTTTTTGTATTTTTTCTCAGAAATGAGACATTTTCCGCGGTAAAAAGTATCCTATATGTTGACCCGGATAACCAGCTATCATCATACCAAATTTTACCAAAATCTGTCCAGTGGTTTTCTCGTGGTGCGGCAACAGACAGACAGACAGACAAAAATTCTAAAAACTATAGATTTGGCCTCTGAATCGATAATAATGTTTATTTCAATAAGATTTTCTAAAAAATATTTAATGTACAGATTCGGCTTAGTTACAATTTTATTATATGTATAGATAGTGGCATTTTTTGGGTTACAAAATATTGACTTTACTAATCTTCCTTATCAGAGGTTATTGTCCCTCCGGGTACAAATTATCCTTACATTATTTTTATCTTTAATGTCATAATGCAAAATAAAAAATGATACATCTCGAGGATTCGAGTCTGATAAAGCGCTCATAACTTATGTTCGTTATCTAATAAGAAAAAAACCTTTACATGTTAACTAAATTCTGTTGCTTTATCTATTCTATTTGTGGAAGCAAATATTTAAAGATAGCATTTGAATACAGCAAGTATTAGTGGAAAAAATAATGTTACTTTAATTACTTTATATTTTTATTAACTTTATTCTTTAGACTTTATATAGACTGTACATTTTATACAAAACTTATACATATCTATATATATAAAAATCAATTGCTGTTCGTTAGTCTCGCTAATACTCAAAAACGGCTGAACCGATTTGAATAATACTTTTTTTGTTTTGTTGGAGGTATAACAGGGATGGTTTAAATATAAAAAAATGTAGGAAAACCCATAAGAATAGCTGGAAAATGGAAAAGTTCAGAACTGATTATTTTGTATGGGAATCACTACTTCGGATTACTTTCAACAGTGGTAGTGGACCTACCATCTACAACAATACGTCAAGTTTAAGTTAGAAAAATATATATATGTATATAACAGTATACTATATATATACTGTATCTATTCTATACTAGTCGTGAAAACGTACCTAGGGACTATTATTATTATATTATATTTAATATTTTATGACGCCATTTAAAAAACTAAAAAACCTTTTTGGATTTAAACTCAAAGGTTTTACTAGTGGTATTTGAATGTTCACTATCCACTGTTCAAAAATCACATAAGATTAAAAAAAAATATAAATAAAAAAAAGAACACAATTTCTGAAATTTGATTTTACGTTACGTGCATGTAAATTAAAATTATATAGCATTTCATTTAATTTTTCAATTCTAAAAAATATACAAGAGAAGTCACGCTTAAGCTTTAGTATGATATATTACTGGAAAGATTAATGATTTGGTTAATATGGAATGTGGAACAAGTATCAGAATATATGCGTGTAATGAGTGCTCATTTTTC